GAGCCACAGTTTGCCGACCACGGGGCTAGGGTTCAAGCTAGGTTTAGGGTCAGAGTTAAGGTCAGGGTCAGAGTTAAGGTTAGGGATAGGACTAGGGTTAGTGTTAGGATTTGTTTAGGAGTGGGGTTATGGTTAGGGGTTATGGTTAGGGTTATGGTTAGGATTAGGGTTAGGGGTAGGGGTAGGGATAGAGTTAGGGTTAGGGATAGGGTTAGAGTTAGGGGTAGGGATAGGGGTAGGGGTAGGGGTAGGGGTAGGGGTGGGGGAAGGGGTGGGGGTGGGGGTAGGGGTAGGGGTAGGGGTGGGGGAAGGGGTGGGGGTAGGGGTAGGGGTAGGGGTAGGGGTAGGGGATAAGGGTAGGGGTAGGGGTGGGGGAAGGGGTGGGGGTAGGGGTAGGGGTAGGGGTAGGGGTAGGGGATAAGGGTAGGGGTGGGGGAAGGGGTGGGGGTAGGGGTAGGGATAGGGGTAGGGGTAGGGGATAAGGGTAGGGGTAGGGGTGGGGGAAGGGGTGGGGGTAGGAGTGGGGGTAGGGGTGAGGGTAGGGGTGGGGTCATGTGTAGAACTGTCGCAGGTGGGAAGAGGCGGGTAGGGTGTCCCTGGGCGGGTCCGGGAAGCCCCGTTTCTGGCTGGAAAAAGGAATTGGGGGCTTGATCAGACATCGGCGTGTGGTTTGGTGAGCGATGGCGTTTCTGACTCTGCAGGGCTTTTCCCTGTGCACTGGTGGCCCCCGTGTCCGCTGACCTTGACTCGGGACTGGAGATCCCATTCCGTCTGTTCCAGTCCGGTGGGCGCGGGCGGGGCAGCTGGGGGCGGGGCAGCTGGGGGCGGGGCAGCTGGGGATGGGGTGGGGGGAGGCTGGGGGCGGCTGGGGGTGGGGAGGCTGGGGGCGGCTGATGGGGTGGGGGGAGGCTGGGGGCAGGGAGGCTGGGGATGGGGTAGGGGGAGGCTGGGGGCAGGGAGGCTGGGTGTGGGGTGGGGGGAGGCTGGGGGCGGCTGGGGGTGGGTGGGGGTGGGGAGGCTGGGGGGGGTGGCTGATGGGGTGGGGGGAGGCTGGGGGCAGGGAGGCTGGGTGTGGGGTGGGGGGAGGCTGGGGGCGGCTGGGGGTGGGTGGGGGTGGGGAGGCTGGGGGCGGCTGATGGGGTGGGGGGAGGCTGGGGGGGAGGCTGGGTGTGGGGTGGGGGGAGGCTGGGGGCGGCTGGGGGTGGGTGGGGGTGGGGAGGCTGGGGGGGCGGCTGATGGGGTGGGGGGAGGCTGGGGGCAGGGAGGCTGGGGATGGGGTGGGGGGAGGCTGGGGGCAGGGAGGCTGGGGATGGGGTGGGGGGAGGCTGGGGGCAGGGAGGCTGGGGATGGGGTGGGGGGAGGCTGGGGGCAGGGAGGCTGGGGATGGGGTGGGGGGAGGCTGGGGGCAGGGAGGCTGGGGATGGGGTGGGGGGAGGCTGGGGGCAGGGAGGCTGGGGATGGGGTGGGGGGAGGCTGGGGTGGGCTGGGGTGGGGGCAGGTGTAATGAATGGCCAGGCCGGTGCGGACGGGCTGTGGAGCCGCTGGGGGGCTGCAGCACGATGAAGCTAATGGATTTTTGAAGCCAGATTGATTTTTCATTAATTCGGTAAAAATCTTTTCCTCTCCCCTATAATTCTGTCTTAAAACGCTCCCCCTGACGGCTCGATAAGTCACTCCGGCCTAATGCACGTCTGGCTCGTCCACGGGCAGGCGGGCGGGGCCTCTCCAGGTGAAGGGGCCCTCAGTCAGCCGCTGGGAACAGCCAGGCCCAGGCCCGGCCCCGGGGTGTGGAGAAGCCGAGGCTGGGGACTCGGTGCCAGCTCAGGCCTCCGGGCCAGCCTCCTCCCCAGCTCCAGCCCCGGGCTTGGGGTGTCCCCGCACCCAGACCAGAGGGCCCTGGCCCCGGGCCCCACGCCCCCCTGCCCCCTCCAGAGGCCTCAGGCCCAGAGCCAGCCCACAGCTCCAGCCCTCACCTCAGAGGGGACCGCCCTGGGCGGGGGGAGGGGGACACAGTGACCCCTTCCTCTGCCCCCTGGACATGGCTCAGCCATCTGTCCATCCCAGGCATTTCTCCTTGAGTCCCCTCCCAGACTTTCTCGGGGTCTCCAGACTGCCCCCCCCCCCCCAGTGGCTCCCTGGATGATGTCCTGGGAGGCTCTGGGATGGGGGGGGCAGGAGTGGGCAGCCTCCGGCCAGACAACCCGAGTCCAGGCCGCTGTGGGCCCCGGCCCAGCCACGTGCCCGGCATCCAGGGCGAGCAGCCTGCCCACTGGGCGCTGCTCCCGGTCGCCGGCTGCGCCACCATCCTCCAGCCCGAGGCGCTGCCGGTTACGTCCGTCCTACAGAGGGACAGGGCCGGCCGCCGGCCCCGTGGGAGACCCTATTGCGTCACCTGGCTCCGGGCAGCCTGCTTGCCTCTGGCCCCCGCCCCCCCCCTGCCCTCAGGCCTCTCCTGTCCTGTCTCCTGTGGGGTAATCCGGGAGGACCTCACCCCGTCCTTACGTGTGTAAAAACCCTTTTTCTTTCTTTTTAAAAAAGATATTTTATTGATTTCTTACAGAGAGGAAGAGGGGAATAGAGTTGGAAACATCCATCACACCTGTGGGGATGTGCCCACAACCACCGTACATGCCTTGACCGGAGTCGAACCCCAGACCTTTCAGTCCGCAGGCCGACGCTCTATCCATGGAGCCAAAGTCAGGGCCCCTTTTTCTTTTTTTATGAAATATATTTTTATTGATTCCAGAGAGGAAGAGAGAGGGAGAGAAACATCAATGATGAGAGAATCACTGACCGGCTGCCCCCTGCACCCCCCATCACACCCACAACCGGGCAGGGGCCCTGACCTCCTGGTTCGGGTGGGACCTGCACCCGAGCCCGTGGCCGGACTGAAGACCTTTCCGGACAGGGAGGGCCACAGGTTCCCGCCGAACCTCCGGGCCCCCATTGAGCCCCCTCTGGCCTCACCGGGCTCCACCCGGCTGGCTCCCCAGCAGGCCTCGCCCTCCCTCCTGGGCGCCCCACCTCGGGGTCCCCGGGCCTGGGGTCCCCCTGGCTGGCCCGCAGGTGACTGTGCAGCTTTGGGCGCCTCCCCCTCAGACTGGCCGGGCCCCAGCGCCGGCTCCTGGGTCCAGGTGGGCGGGCACTGGGCAGGGGTCTGGCGGGGCGGGCACTGGGCAGGGGTCTGGCGGGGCGGGCACTGGGCAGGGGTCTGGCGGGGCGGGCACTGGGCAGGGGTTTGGCGGGGCCGGGCACTGGGCAGGGGGCGGGCACTGGGCAGGGGTCTGGCGGGGCGGGCACTGGGCAGGGGGCGGGCACTGGGCAGGGGTCTGGCGGGGCGGAGTGAGCCTGGAGGAGGGGCCCTGGGCGGGGCAGGGGCAGGGGAGGCTGGGCAGGGGCCTCCTCCGCGCCCTCGCCAGCGCGGCCTCCGGTCCCCGCGCCAGGCCGGCTGCTGACCCAGCGGACCGGTCCCTCCCTCCGCTTCCTGGCGGCGGAGCAGAAAGGCCGCCCCGGCCCGGCCCCCAGCCCGGCGGGACCGCGGGGGCAGAGCGCGGTGGGGGGCCGGGAGGGGCTCCCGGTGCAGAGCGGGCCGGGCGGCCCCGGCCTCCGGGCCCCGGCTCTGTTACCAAACCGATCCCCGCGGGGGTGCTGGGCCGCCGCTGAGGCCTCCTCCCCGGGGCAGGCGGGTCCCCGACACCCGGAACCCCGGCCGCCCCCCCCCACCCGGACCCCAGCACCGAGGCGGGAGGGGTGGTGGGCGCGCCGGGTGCACAGGCCGCTCCCGTTGGGACCCACCGCCAGGAGGGGGGAGGGGGGCGGGAGGGGGAGCAGGAGGGAGCGGGGGAGGGAGGGAGGAGGCAGGGGGAAGAGAGGGGGCAGGGGGAGGGAGGGAGGAGGGGGAGGGAGGGAACAGAGGGAGGGAGGGAGCAGGGGGAGGGGGAGGGAGGGGCGGGCAGGGGGTCCGCTGCCCGGCCCGCCCAGGCAGATCCCGCATCCAAACAGGAGCGGGCGGCGGTTGCCCCCTGGTGGCCACAGAGATCCTTGACCAGCTGGCCCCCAACCCCAACCTGCCCCGGGGACAGCCCCCCTTTAAATCCTCACCCCAGGACGTGTGTGTGTTTAACTGACTTTAGAGGAGGAGAAAGAGGGAAGCGTCAGTGTGAGAAACATGGGCTGGTGGTGAGGGGTCCCAACCAGGGACCAAACCCACAGCCCCTGGGTGTGCGCCTGGGGGCCAAACGGGCAACCTTTTGCTACACCAAGGGCACCCCACCCAGCTGAGCCCCCTCCATCCTCAGCGGCCACCCTGCCCTCCCCGGGACGGAGGCCGCACTGAGCCCCTCGCTCTAAATGAGGGAGGCCCGGCCGGTGTGGTTCAGTGACTGCATCAGCCATGGAGCAGGAGGCCCGTCCGGCTCCGTCAGGGCCCAGGCCCGGCAGGGGCTCAGCCCGGGAGCTGAGGCCTCGGTCTGAGGAGCCAGCCAGGGCCGCACGGAGGGCTGAGCACGAGGGGCCGGCAGGCGGGGCACCCCTCGGTGAGAGGCCTCAGGGCAGGCTCCCAGGGGCCCCACAGGCCGAGCAGGGGACACAGCGGCCGCCCCGGGGAAGGCGTGGAGGCGGGACAGGGAGCTGAGCCTGGCGTGGCTGAGTGCCTGGCAGGTGTGCTGGGCCCAGGTGGACCCCGCCCTGAGGGCCGTGTGGGCATGGGGGGTGGAGGGGGGAGAGGCCGGTGGGGCCTGGGAGGCCACCACGGGGAGTGAGGACCCGGCTGCAGGGACCCACCCTGGCGGCTCCTTAAGCTCAAGGACAGCGGCAGACCCCCCCCCCCCCCGGGAGCAGCCCCCTCAGCCCGGCGAGTGACACTCCCGTGTGAGTGGGCAGCCGTGCCCATGGCTGACACACTCAGCTGACACCGTCTTTAATGGCAGTGGGTACGGGCGGACAGCAAACTGGCGGGAAGGTCCTGCGGGGTCAGAGGGCACGACGGGGCCGCTCCCGGCTCAGGGCTGGGGGGCCGGGGACAGCCGCCCGCCCGGCCTGCCCCTCTTGGCCTTGCGGCTCCAGCCGAGCAGGGGCCTGGGGCTGGCTCTCGGGGCTGCAGGCTCCCAGCCGCGCTCCTGGTTCCGCTCCTGGTTCCGCAGAAGCCCCCGCAGCGCCGGCCGGCGGTCCCCCTGCGGCAGAGAAGGCCCAGCGCTCAGCAGCCGGGCGGAGAGGGGTGGGGGGCCCGGAGGGGGAGCGTGGGGGGCCCGGAGGGGGAGCGTGGGGGGCCCAGAGGGGGGTGGGGGGCACGGAGGGGGAGCGTGGGGGGCCCAGAGGGGGGTGGGGGGCCCGGAGGGGGAGCGTGGGGGGCCTGGAGGGAGGGGGGTGGGGGGCCCGGAGGGGGAGCGTGGGGGGCCCAGAGGGGGGTGGGGGGCACGGAGGGGGTGGGAGGCCTGGAGGGGGAGCGTGGGGGGCCCAGAGGGGGGTGGGGGGCACGGAGGGGGAGCGTGGGGGGCCTGGAGGGGGGTGGGGGGCCCGGAGGGGGAGCGTGGGGGGCCCAGAGGGGGGGTGGGGGGCCCGGAGGGGGAGCGTGGGGGGCCTGGAGGGGGTGGGGGGCCCGGAGGGGGGGTGGGGGGCCTGGAGGGGGGTGGGGGGGCCCGGAGGGGGAGCGTGGGGGGCCCGGAGGGGGTGGGGGGCCCGGAGGGGGGTGGGGGGGCCCGGAGGGGGTGGGGGGCCCGGAGGGGGGTGGGGGGGCCCGGAGGGGGGAGCGTGGGGGGCCCGGAGGGGGAGCGTGGGGGGCCCGGAGGGGGAGCGTGGGGGGCCCGGAGGGGGTGGGGGGCCCGGAGGGGGAGCGTGGGGGGCCCGGAGGGGGGTGGGGGGCCCGGAGGGGGAGCGTGGGGGGCCCGGAGGGGGGTGGGGGGCACGGAGGGGAAGCGTGGGGGGCCCGGAGGGGTGCGTGGGTCATGCTGGCCCCCGGGGGCTGGCCTCGGGCAGGGGCTCACCGTGCCGGGGGGCTCGGCGCCGGGCAGCAGGGAGGCCACCTGCAGGCTCACGCCCTCGGCGCCCACGCCCCTGAGCCGCGCCACCATCTCCGCGTGCTTCCACCAGCGGCTCGGCTGCCCGTCCACCGACACGATGTAGTCGCCCTCCCTGAGGCCGGCCGCCTGCGGGGGGCACTGCGGTCCCTGTCCCGGCACCCGCCCATCCTCCCCAGCCGGTGCTCCCGCAGCCCTCCCCCCACACCCCTCCCCCGCACCCCTCCCCTCCCCCCAGCACCCTCCCTCCCCACACCCCCTCTCCTGCACCCCTCCCCCCACACCCCCTCTCCCGCATCCCTCCCCCCACACCCCCTCTCCCCAGCACCCCTCCCTCCCCACACCCCCCACCCCCGCACCCCTTCCCCCGCCTCCCTCTCCCCCGCACCCCCTCTCCCCGCACCCCGCCCCCCTCCCCCGCCCCCGCCCCCTTACCGCGGCGCGGCCCCCGGGGTCCACGGCCGCGATGAGCACCGGCGCGTCGCCCCGCAGCGTGAAGCCGAAGCCGCCGTCCCCGCGGGCCAGGTGCACGGGGCCCAGCAGCCGCCAGCGGGCCCGGGCTGAGAACACGGACGGCGGCCCCTGGGGCCCGGGTCAGCGGCCGCCCCCCCCCCGCCCCCGGGCAGGACAGGGGTGCGGCCCGCTCACCAGCCGGTGGAAGATGTCCGCCGCCTTCACCCGCGAGAAGCTGGGCGCCCGCGCCGCCGGCCGCCGCTGCGTCCGGGCTGCAGGGACAGCGGGGCTGAGCCCGCGGCTCCGGGCCGGACACGCCCTCCCCCTCCCCTGCCCCCTCCACACCGGCACCCCCACACCCCCACCCCCACCACACACACCCCACATACACCCCTCCACCCCCCCACCCCCCCACCCCCACACACCCACCGCCCCCCACACCCCCCACACACCCACACCCACACCCCCCCACACACACCCCCACACCCCCACCCCCACCACACACCCCACATACACCCACACCCCCCCACACCCCCCCCACACCCCCCCCCACACACACCCACACACCCCCCCACACACCCCCACACCCCCCCACACACACCCCCACACACACACCCCACATACACCCACCCCCCCCCCACACCCCCACCCCCCCCACACACACCCACACACCCCCCCACACCCCCCCACACCCCCACCCCCACCACACACACCCCACATACACCCACACCCCCACACACACACCCCACACACACCCACCGCCCCCCACACCCCCCACACACACCCCCCCACACACCCACACACCCCCCCACACCCCCCCACACCCCCACCCCCACCACACACACCCCACACACACCCACACCCCCACACACACACCCCACACACACCCACCGCCCCCCACACCCCCCACACACACCCCCCCACACCCCCACACACACCCACACACCCCCACACCCCCCACACCCCCACCCCCACCACACACACCCCACATACACCCACCCCCCCCCACACCCCCACCCCCTACACACACCCACACACCCACACACCCACACACCCCCCCACCCCCCCACCCCCACCACACACACCCCACACACACCCCACATACACCCACACCCCCCACACCCCCACCCCCACCACACACACCCACACACACCCCCCCACACCCCCACTCCCACCACACACCCCCCACACCCCCCCACACACACACCCACACCCCCCCACACCCCCACACCCCCCCACCCCCCCACACACACACCCACACCCCCACACCCCCCCACACCCCCACCCCCACCACACACACCCCACATACACCCACACCCCCCCACACACACCCCCCCACCCCCCCACCCCCACCACACACCCCCCCACATACACCCACACCCCCCCACACCCCCCCCACACCCCACCCCCCACACACACCCACACCCCCACACCCCCCCACACCCCCACCCCCACCACACACACCCCACATACACCCACACCCCCCCACACCCCCCCACACCCCCCCACACCCCCACCACACACCCCCCACCCCCCCCACCCCCACCCCCACCACACACACCCCACACACACCCACACCCCCACACACACCCCCACACACACCCCACATACACCCACACCCCCCCACACCCCCCCCACACACCCACACCCCCCCACACCCCCCCACACACCCACACCCCCCCACACCCCCCCACACACCCACACCCCCCCACACACACCCCACATACACCCACACCCCCACACACCCACACCCCCACACACACCCACACCCCCACACCCCACACCCCCACACACCCACACCCCCCCACACCCCCCCACACACCCACACCCCCCCACACACACCCCACATACACCCACACACACCCCCACACACACCCACACCCCCACACACCCACACCCCCACACACCCACACCCCCACACCCACACCCCCACACACCCACACCCCCCCACACCCCCCCACACACCCACACCCCCCCACACACACCCCACATACACCCACACACACCCCCACACACACCCACACCCACACACACCCACACCCCCACACCCACACCCACACACACCCACACCCCCCACACACCCACACCCCCACACACACACACCCACACACACACCCACACACACCCACACCCACACACACACCCACACACACACACCCACACACACACACCGCCCCCCACCCCCCCACCCCCCCCAGGACACCCCCCACCCCCACACACACACCCACCCCCCACCCCCCACAGGACACCCCCCACGCCGCTGCTCACGCGGGACGTCGGGGGCCTCGGGGGCCTCGAAGAAGTCGTCCTCCAGGTCCAGCGCCGAGTACTGGGCCAGCGAGCGCCGCAGCGCCTGGGCCAGCACCGCCTGCAGCGGGTCCACGCGGCGCAGGGCGCGGCCCAGGCCGTGCAGCCGCAGCGCCGCCTCCTGGCCCAGGATGGCGCGCCGCAGGTGGGCCTTGCCTGCGGGCGGGACAGCCCATCGCACCGCGCCCTGCGGGGGGCGCCCCGCCCGTCCAGAGGCACCGGGGCCCTGCCCCCTCACCCAGCTTCCTGCGCTCCTCCGGCTCCCGCGGCAGCGCCAGTGCGGGGCGCTGGGGCTCAGGGCGGTCCGGGGGCTCCGGGTGCACCTGCTCCCGCACCGGGGGCTCCGCCTCGGCCGCTGGGGTCAGAGCGGGCCGTGAGCCCCGACACTGAGGCTCCCCCCACAGCCCTCCCCGCAGCCCCTCCCGCACACACAGAACCCCGCACGCACACAGCCCCCCCCGCACACACAGCCCCCACACACACACCGACCCCCGCACACACCGACCCCCGCACACACAGCCCCCCCCCGCACACACAGCTCCCCCCACAGCCCCTCCCGCACACACAGCCCCCCCGCACACACAGCCCCCCCGCACACACAGCCCCCCCGCACACACAGCCCCCCCCGCACACACAGCCCCCCCCGCACACACAGCCCCCGCTGCACACACAGCTCCCCCCACAGCCCCCCCCGCACACACAGCCCCCCCCGCACACACAGCCCCCCCCGCACACACAGCCCCCGCTGCACACACAGCTCCCCCCACAGCCCCCCCGCACACACAGCCTCTCGCACACACAGCTCCCCCCACAGCCCCTCCCGCACACACAGCCCCCCGCACGCACAGCCCCCCTCCCCCCCACGCACAGCCCCTCCCCCGCACGCACACCCGCACGCACGCAGCGGGGCGGGCACTCACGGGCGCCGCCGCCGCACAGGGCCGTGGCCGCGTGGACGTGCGCCAGGGCGCGGAAGTGCTCGGCCTTGACCATCACCAGCGCGCTCCAGGCGAACGGCACGTAGTCGCGGGCGGGCGGCTGCGCCATGGCCCGGCGCACCTGCTCGTACTCGGCCGCCACCTGCCAGGCCGGGCAGGCTGAGCCCCGCCGGGCCCCGAGGCCTCAGCCCGCCTCCCACCCGGGGCCAGCCCGGGGCCTGCCCGGTCCTGTTCCGTTAGTGCCCCCAGAGCTGGACTGGGGGGGGGTCTCCTCGGGACAGGGCGCGTCCTCACCTGGGCGGCCTCCTGCGCCAGGCGCAGCTGGGCCGGGCCGTCGTGGGGGGCGGCGGGCGCCGGGAGCGAGAGCCCCTCGAAGACGCACTCCTGGGCCTGGGCGGCCATGAGCCGCTCCAGCACGCGCAGCGAGGCGGGGCTCATGTCGGGGCTCGGCGCCTGCGAGAACCTCTCCCGCAGGAGGCTGAAGGCGCCTGCGGAGGGTGCTCACAGCGCGGGGCAGGTGCCCGCACCCCCAGCCCGGCACCCACCCCGGCACCCACCCCGGCACAGCCTCCCCCTCCCGCCGGGCCCGCCCTCACCTGCCGCCCTCTGGAAGGCCTCGGCCGCGCGGCCGGCGCCCCCGGGGCAGGAGCGGTCCTGGCGCGCCCCGATCTGCGTGTGCAGCGCCCCGATGTTGAAGAGCACGCTGCCCTTCTCGAAGGCCAGCGACCGCTGCCGCGCGGGGACCCCGGTGAGCGAGTCGTACCTGCGGGCGGGTCAGGGTGGGTCCGAGGCGGAGCGGGAGCCTGAGGGGGTGCGGCAGGGGGCCTACCAATGGAAGAGCAGCCCCAGGCCCCCGGCCGGGCCGGCGAAGCGGGCGTCCAGCAGGCAGAGCTGGTTGTAGTAGGCCATGAGCAGCTCCAGGCCGGCCTCGCTGCGGCTGGGCGTCCGCGCGGCCTGCGGGGGGGGGGGGGGGGGGGGAGGCTGTGACCCCCTCCGGCCGTCCCCCCGCACCCCCGAGGGCAGCCCCGGCCAGCCCAGCCCAGGGAGCAGCCGCCTGGAGCGGAGGGGCCTCACGTTCGCCCCAGGAGCCTGAAGGTCCGGGAGGGAGAGACTGGCCCCTGGGGAGGGACAGACCGGGCAGCCCTTCCCTGAGGGCCGGGTTCGGCGCTGGCAGGCGTGGGAGCCACACTGAGCCGACCCCCCTGCCCCACAGCGAGCCCCATCCTGCTGCCGGGACTGAGCCCCGGGGTAACCAGGGGCGGGCGGGCCCACCTGCCGCAGGTCCGCCAGCTCCCTGATCTCCGCCTCGTAGGTGGCGCCGTCCTCTCCGAAGCGCTCCGAGATCAGCTCCTGGGGGGAGGGCGGGCACTGGCCTTCCCCGGAGTCTCCCGGCCCCACGTGGGGAGACCCAGAGCGGGGGAGGCCCCGCCCCAGAGAAGGGCCGCCCGGGCCCTCGCTCTGGCCACCCGCCCTGCGCCTCAGGCCCAGAGACTTGGCGGGTGCTAACCCCTGGGTGGCAGGGCCCGCGGGCCACGGGGGACCCTTGGCACGGGCCTGCCGGGCAGTGTCCAGCCATCCCGGGCTCCGGGCGGGAGGACAGCTTCTCAGAGCCTCCCAGGCAGGACCCCGAGCTGGGGAGGGGATCCCCAGGCCAGACGCTGCCCTCGCAGCCCGTTTCCCGTCCATCCAATGAGACGGCCGGACCGGGGAGCCGCCACGACCCCTGCCCGGCCCGCACTCACCATCAGGGCTGCTGACCAGTCCAGCTCCTGCGTCTCCTTCAGCCCCAGGGGGATCAGGGGCACAGCGACGCCTCCACTGGAACCAGACGGGGAGCCCTGAGGCGGCCGGTGCGCCCCAGGCCATGGAGGTCCCCCCCCCACACACACCTCCCCACTCCGAGAGCAACCCTGCACCCACACATGCCACGCCACGCAGGGCTGCCGGGGGCACGTGCCTCCCACATGCACGCGCACACACGCACACGCACACCCGTGTCCACACCCACGCGTGCTCGCACCTCCCAGGCCCGTCGGCGTCCGTGCCGCAGTCCAGCTCCTCCAGCTCCTCCTTCAGCAGCTGCAGGCTGGAGTTGACGTAGCTCAGCTCCTGGGCCACGGTCTCCCTGACGCGGCTGTTGCTGGTGGCTCTGGAGGGCCGGGCGGAGGTGAAGCCAGCCCCGGGCCCCGAGGCAGCCTCGCCACCCCCCCAGAACCCCCTGGGGGCAGCAGCGGGGTCCAGGCTACGAGGCAGCCCCCTCCCCCGAGTCGCCCGAGGCGTGTGCGGGTCTTGGCTGTCCCACGGCCTCCAGGGCGCCCCTCCCCTGCCCCTGCCTCCCCGGGCCCAGGCCGTGCCCGCTGCTGACCCTCGAACCCACTTCCCGGGCTCGGGGCAGGGAGGGCAGGAGAGCAGGCGCTGCCGGGCCGCGGCCGAGGCCGTGCCCACCTGTACAGGTTCTCGGCGCCCGCCCGCATGCGGAGCTCCTTGCTGATCTGCTGGTGGACGCGGGCCCTGCGGCTCTGCAGGCCGCCTCGCTGCGTCTGCGCCAGGGGGTCGCCGCCCTGCACGGAGGCCACGGTCACAGGCTCAGCGCCGAGGCCGGGCCCCGCGTCTCCCGCCCACCTGGCATGGAGCCTGGGCTCGGTGATGCCAGAGGAGGGCGGGGCCGGCAGCAGCGTGCCGGGGCTCTGGTCTGGGCCCAGCCTGGACCCACCTTTGGGAGCCAGGTGCTCCCCACACAGCCCCCCAACACAGCTGTCCCAGCGCCGTCAGTGGGAGGGGAGCCTGAGGCTCTGCCGGGCTCCGTTCCAGCCGCTGACTCGAGAGAGCCCTTGGCGAGCGCCCAGACCACAGGCCTGGGGTCGCTCACTCACAGGCAGCGAGCCGGCCCCGGACTGCCCGTGCCCGCCTCGGCCACTGCGGGCAATGGCGCCGTCCTGCCCGCGTTTGGGGCCGGTGAGGAGTGGGCAGCTAAGCAGGACGTGCAGACACCTGTGGGGGAGGACAGCCAGGCAGGGACCTCCTGTTTGGTCAGCCTCCAGCCGGGGGTCAGGAGGACTCAGACCACTCCCTGGTCGATGCCCACAGGGTCCTCACTGCACCCGACCCCCGTGGGGACGGGGACCGTGCCTCTCGGGCCGCAGCAGGGCCGGTGACTAGGGGTCCCCGTCCAGAGCCCAGGGGGAGGGGGGGAAGGAGGCGGAGAAGCAACCCCCTCACACCCCCTGCCTCCGCCCTGGTCTTACCCCTACCCCAACCCTAATCTAACCCTAACCCTACCCTAACCTACACTAACCCCAACCCCTATCCCTAAACCTAACCCCTAATCCTAACCCTAACCCCAACCTCTAACCCGAACCCCTAACCCTAACCTACCCTAACACTAACCCCTATCCCTAACCCTAATCTAACCCTAACCCTACCCCACCCTAACCCTAACCTACCCTAACCCCAACCCCTATCCCTAAACCTAACCCCTAATCCTAACCCTAACCCCAACCTCTAACCCGAACCCCTAACCCTACCCTAACCTACCCAAACCCCAACCCCTATCCCTAACCCTAACCTACCCTAACACTAACCCCTATCCCTAACCCTAACCTACCCTAACCCCAACCCCTATGCCTAACCCTAACCCTAATGTAACCCTAACCCTAATGTAACCCTAACCCTAATCTAACCCTACCCCTACCCTAACCTACCCTAACCCCAACCCCTATCCCTAACCCTAATCTAACCCTACCTTAACCTTAACCCCAACTCCTAACCCTAACCCTACCCTAACCCTACCCCACCCTAACCCTACCCCTACCCCTAACCCTAACCCTTCCCTAACCCCTAACCATAACGCTTAACCCTAACCCTAACCCTATCCTACCCTACCCTAACGGCAGGGCTGGCGCTCGCTGCCGGAAGCTCTGGGCTGCGGCCCCAGCAGCCAGGAGGAAACAGCGGGGCGGAGGGGTGAGGGGACAGGGGAGGACAGTTATGTCAGCACAGGCCGCGCTGGAACAAACAACAGCGCCCCGCCCCGCCCCCCCCAGGCTCCCTGCCCGTGGTTCCCAGGGAGCGGCCCTCAGGCCTGGTGACCAGCTTCCCCTCAGAGTCCTGGGTTTTGCCTTGATGCCCAGCCTCCACTCCACCTCAGGGACCCCCGCCCTCCTTGGTCTCACCTGGACACCCCAAGGAGTGGGGCCCGGCATCCCACCCCCACCTCTGCCACCCCCCAACCCTGCTGCCCCGACACGGTGGCTGCAACCCCGCCCACGCCAGGTGGACCCAGGACCAGGCCCCTCAGGCTGCGGGGGACCCTGCCCTCCCCCACGCGCTCTGAGGCCCACTCCCAGGCCCTGCGAACTGGGCCCTTACTGGTGCTGGGAGTCCCCACCGGACACAGGGCCCGGGACCCACTGGCACCCGCTCTCAGCACTGGGGGCGGAGACACCCAGGATCACCTTCCCCCAGCCCGGCAGAGGGGCAGGTGAGACCGGGGAGTGAGAGCCACGAGGGCAACAGGAGTGTCTGAGGGCGTGCGGGGTGCCACCCCCGCTCCCAGCCCGGGCCTCCTGGGGGCGCAGCCGGGGGAGCAGGCTGGAAAGTTCCAGCGCCTTCCCGGGGCCACCGGTGTGAGCAGCCTCCCCGGCATTCCGCCCGCAGCGCTGCCAGGGCGGCGGGAGCGGGGTCACGAAGGGCAGTGCCCAGGCTCCGGCGGCCCCGGGTGCTCCCCCGCAGCTCCGCGCCCCGCAGCTCCGGGGCTGCCTCCGGGTCCGGCCCAGCACGTGGCTGGTGACCGGGCCCATGTCCCACCGGGACCCCTTCGCCGGGAGGCCCGGCCCGCACAGGGCCGAACGCGCGGAGGGAGGGCGCGCCGGGCAGCCGGGGGGCAGCCGGGGGGCCGCCCTGGAGCCGCCCCGCCCGCAGCGCCGGGCGGGAGGGCCTCACGGGCGGGGCGCAGGGAAGGGGCGGGAGGACCCCGCCGCCCGCGAGGCTGCACCGCACGCCGGGCCGGGCCGGGCCGGGCCGGGGGCTGGAGGAAGGTACCCGAGCCCGGCCGCCCCCGGCCGGAGCCGCACCTGCCGACCAGGGACTCGGGACGCGGAGCCGGGACGGCGCCCCCCGGCCCCCCGACCGGCCAGAGCGGACCCGGCGCAGGCCATCGCCGCGGGGTCCCGCGCCTCAGTTTCCCCGCCTGCCTTTCGGGGCGCGCGGGGCGGGGGGGCGGCCGCCGGGGAGTCTGGCTCCCATCGCGCGGGGCAGGGAGCCGCGCCGCGGACCCAGCCCGCGCCCCCGCTCCGGCGCCCTCCTCCCGGCGCCCGCCCCGGGCGCCCACCTTGCGGCCGCGGTCGGCCGCCTGCAGCCGGGGGCTCTCCTCGCCGGCGCCCGGGCCGTGCGGCCTCTCCTCCGGGACCATCGCCGCCGCCGCTCGGGCCGCGCCCGCTGGAAGCCGAGGCCGCGCCGGTCCGCACGGTCCGCTCCCCGGCGGCGGCCCCGCGGGCGGGAGGGGCGGGGCGGCCCGCGCCGAGCGTGCGAAACTTTCCGCTGCCCAATCGGCGACGGCGGCGGCTCCGACGGACAGCAGCCTCGGCCAATCAGAGAGCGAGGGAGGCGGCTCCGGGCGCTCAGGCTCCGCCCGCCCCCCCGCGGAGTCCTGGGGGAATGCGGTTGCCCTGGCAACCGCCCGGCCCGACGCCGAGCTCGGCCGCGGGGCGCGCAGTGCGCGTGCGCGGGCGGGCGGCGCGGGGCGGGCGAGCGGAGAAGTTGGAGGAAAAAGGAAAAGTGGAAAAAAAAGTGACACTCCCGCCGCGCCCGGCCCCGCCCTCGGCCGCCTCCCCGCGCGGGCGTCCGCGTCCTCCCGCCGCGGGGCCGCGGGGCTGGTCCACCCTGTGCCGGGGGTGACGGCTCTGGAGGGTCTGCGAGGCCACTTCCTGCGCCGGCCGCTCTGGGGTGCGCTCCGCAGGCGCGGCCCCCAGACCCGCTGCAGGTGCGCCCCCGCCTCCCAGCTGCAGGCGGCCGTCCCGGGCTGGTGCGCCCCGAACCTGCGCCCGCCGGGTCCCCCCCCATCCCCGCCCCCCGAGTTCCCGGGCCCCGGGAGCCGCTGGGCCGGTGGGCCCGCCCCCCCAGGAACACACCCTTTGTGGCGGAGCCGAGGCTAATCTGTTATCAGGTTCCCTCTAGGGTTCCGCCCCGGGGCCGGGCGCCGAGCCTGCGGCGCCCGCACAGGGTCTCCTTCCTCCGGGCTGAGCCTGCGGCTGGGCCCCGCCCGCGCCGCGGGTCTGAGAAGCCGGGCCTTCCCCGCGGAGGATCGCAGGGACCCGTCTGGGAACCGGCCTTAAAGAACAGCCACTTAGAAGTGAAAAGATATTTCTAAATGAGATCTGAATTAAAAGACAAAATAGCACGACACCTAAAAAGTAGCTAGAAAGTAAATAGCATCATAGAACCTTTTGTAATACGTGACACGGAATTCCTGCGCAGGTCTGGTCCCTAGGCCTGGTGAGCCATCAGGCCCGATCTGTGGGGCGACCAGCAGGGCGATCAGGGTGCCTGCTGGCACCTGCCTTGACAGGCCTGGGGCCTGCGGGCTGGGGCAGCTCCTGCCCTGAGTGTCTGCCCCCTGGTGGTCAGTGGGTGTCATAGCAACCGGTCGTTCCACCAGTCATTCTGCTGTTCGGTCAACTTGCACATTAGGCTCTTATCATATAGGATAATATATACATTATAACTAACAATATATGAACAATATTATGTATGTATGGAATAAACACATAAAATTCTATAAAATTAGGTGAGTTTGTTGTGTATATATATATATATATATATATATCCTATAATAAAAAGCTAAGATGCAAATGGTTCTCACACCCTTGCTCTGGGGCTGGGGACCTGAGGCTGCACCCCCCGCCCTGCAGGGCTCCATGCAGGAGGGGCCGGCTGGTTCTGAGTCTCACGTGATTTTGAGATGTGCATGGGTGGGCGGGGACTTGACTCTGGGTCCCGTGGTGAGCCCCAGACTCCGATAGGAGGGAGATCTTCATATACATTTTACTAATTTTTTTCCATCTCTGACTCTTCTATCCTAGAGAAAGGGCAAATATTCCTCTAATTAGTTCCCTTTTAATGTGCACAAATCTCATGCACCAGGCCTCTAGTATATAATAAATTAGCCAAATCAAAAGAAAGCAGCAGAAGGAAATTACTAACGATTAAAAGCTGCATCAGTCACGCAGCAAAAAGCCGAGTGAAAGGGAAACAAGGCAGTGAGCTGCAGAGGCTCAAGGGGGACGCGATGGTCTGAGCCGATGCCTCTGCAGCTCGCAGCTGGCATGCGACGTGGTGGCCGGCGGGGAGGGGACCCGACGTAAACGGAGAATAAATAACCGCACCGCAGGGGGAGGGGACGGAGCGCCTGGCGGTGCAGGTGAGTCTTAATCGATGGCGGTGATGGCCGCCGTCAGCGGGCGGGGCTGCAGGAGGACCCGGGAACTGTTTGGAAACAATCAATACTCTGTGTTGGGGAGAACCCGTGGGTCCCGGGAAACCGCCTCGGGAGACTCCGTGTTTCTCTCACATCGATGTTTCTGTCTCTCCCTCCCCCTTCCACTCTCTCTAAAAACCAATGGAGAAATGCCTTTGTGTGAGGATTAATAAAAAATAAAATTATTTAAAAAATATAAAGCTACTTGTTCATGAAGAGACTGCAGCTCGGCCCGGCGCCCGGGGACGGCAGGAGGGGCGGGGAGCCTCGGTGCTCAGCGCTGTCCACCCGAAGCCAGCCGCACCCGCCCAGACCTGAGGGGTGGACTGCCCGGCCCCGGGCCCGACCAGGGCTCCCACCCACTGTGCGTCCCCAGGGGCTGGGGAGGCGGGCCTGGGGGGGCAGAGGCCAGGCCGGGGCCCTCTGGGCGGGGCTGGGCCGAGGCTGCGGCAGAGCCTGGTGGGGGTGCGGAAAAGGGCTGCTTTGATGGGATCACGTGTGGAACGCCCACATCGGGGGGCTCTGCTCTAGGGGAGCAAAGAGCTGGCGGTGGCCTGGTCGTGGGGCCAGAGGAAGGCCGGGCGGGTGGGGCGCTGCCTGTAAGCGCTACAGACATCTGACTGCGGGGACAGAGGCAGAGGGACCACTCGATGGGCACATGGGGGTGAAGGTGGGGGGCAGGGTGTACATGGGGGTGGGGGGCAGTGGGCACATGGGGGTGGGGGGGCAGGGTGCACATGGGGGTGGGGGGGCAGGGTGCACATGGGGGTGGAGGTGGGGGGCAGTGGGCACATGGGGGTGGGGGTGGGGGGGGCAGTGGGCACATGGGGGTGGGGGTGGGGGGGCAGTGGGCACATGGGGGTGGGGGTGGGGGGGCAGTGGGCACATGGGGGTGAAGGTGGGGGGCAGTGGGCACATGGGGGTGAAGGTGTGGGGCAGTGGGCACATGGGGGTGGAGGTGGGGGGCAGTGGGCACATGGGGGTGAAGGTGGGGGGCAGTGGGCACATGGGGGTGAAGGTGGGGGGCAGTGGGCACATGGGGGTGAAGGTGGGGGGCAGTGGGCACATGGGGGTGGAGGTGGGGGGCAGTGGGCACATGGGGGTGAAGGTGGGGGGGGCAGGGTGCACATGGGGGTGAAGGTGGGGGGCAGTGGGCACATGGGGGTGGGGGTAGGGGGGGCTCCCGGGCCCCGCCACGAGCCGACCTGCCAAGGCCCCGAAGCCACAGTGACTCCCGACACTGGGACCCGTCCATCCCCGCGGGAACCCTCGCGGCTCTGCACTTTCCAGAACGGAAAGGTGAGCCCGGAGCACCTGGGCGCAGCGCCCCCTGGCGGCCGCCCTGGGCCCCAGCCGCAGCGCCGTCTCCCGCTTCCACTCTCCGCAGCGGACGTGCGGCTCTTTCTCCGCCCGAACCCAGGACGGACGTGCAGCCCTGCGCTCCGGCCTCGCGTCGGCCGCTCCCGACCCCGTCCGCCGCCCACCTGCAGTCCCCGCTGCCAGCCCCAAGCGACTCAGGCCCCTTCATCCCCTTAGGCGACCCTTCGCGACTCTCTAGGCTGCGGGAGGACTGTGCACTTGGCTGCCCGGGAGGCCGCGACGCAGGCACTTCCTGCGACGCTCTAGGCCGCGAAAAAAAAAATGCTTGGCTGCCATGGAGACTGCGGCGCGAGCACTTCCGGCGACGCTCTAGGACGCTGAAGAATTGCTTTTAGCTGCCCTGGAGGGCACAGTACTGGTACTTGCGGCAATTCTCTAGGCCGCCAGAAGCCTGCGCTCGGCTGCCCTGGAGGCTGCAGCGCGTACACTTCCGGCGACGCTCTAGGCCGCCAGAGGGCTGCGCTCGGCTGCCCTGGAGGTTGCAGCGCGGGCACTTCCGGCGACGCTCTAGGCTTACGGAGAACTGTGCACTTAACTGCCTTAGAGGCCGTGGCGCGGGAACTTCCGGCGACGCTCTAGGCCAAAAGAGAAGTCTGCACTCAGTTATCTGGGAGGCAGCTAGGCTGGCGGGCCACTTGCCCAACGCTGGGCTCCCTTTGAGTCACCTTTTTTTCCTTTTTAATGTTTTTATTGATTTTAGAGGGAGAGGAAGGGAGGATAGAGAGACAGAAGTATCATTGATTGGCTACAGCCTGCAGGCCCCCTACTGGGGATTGGTAACTGGGGCATGTGCTGTAACCGGGAATCGAACCAGCGATCTCTTGGTTCATGCTCAACTACTGAGCCACACGGGCACCCCATCCTCCCTCTGAGTCTTACAGGTGGTTCCCAGTTTGAGTGCAAGGTCCCTCCCTCCATAGCTGTTGTCCAGCCAACTTCATAGCAACCCCGCCCGCCCTCCTGCCCCCGCGGGAATTCAGACTCGACCCTGCCAGCCTCCACACCCAGCCCCATGCCCCAGGCAGCCCGACCGCCTCCCTCCGGGGCTCCGCCAGGCCTGTCAGGCCGGGGCAGGGGTGAGTGAGGGTCGGGGAAGCAGGTCTGGGTTTGGGGGCGGAGCTGACTGCGCAGGGAGCACATGGAGGAGACCGGCGTCGTGGAGACAGGGGCGCCGGGGAGGGGGACACAGACTCCTCCACCCACCACACTGTCGTCTTACAAAACACGCACAGAAACACTTAACGAGGGTCACCTAAGAGCAGAAATGGGTTTTCCCATCCCCGTGGTCTCCCGTGGGCCCCGCCCACAGGCACTGCACCCGCTTCCCTCCCGCGTCCTCCACATCCCGGCCGGCCAGCTCTTCTCCCGCCGGCCGCCGGGACGGCGCCTGCTGGGCTCACCCTGCGCCGGCAGGACCCGATGGAGAACCAACCGGGCAGCGGCTGGGGACCGGCCCGCGGGACCAGGTCGGGGAACTGGTGAGAGGACCGCCACGGAGCCCAGATCCCGACCTCCGGACCGGAGCCTCAGGGCAGCTGGGCGCGCCGGGCGCTGTCCGATGTGCTGAGCGGGCGGTGGCCTGAGAGCTGCCCGCCAGGCAGAGACTCTGGGAGGGAACAAGCGAGGGGCACCCCACTGGGGCCGCCAGGACACCCTGCGGGGATGGGGTCCCGGGAGTCGAAGTCCGGGTGGTTGGGGGGAGACAGCTGGCGGAGCCGAGGACTCAGGAAGGACGGAGGGCGGGAGAGGGGCCTGCGTCTGGCCACTGCTCCCGCGGCCGCTCCTGGACGGCAGGCGGCGGTGACAGCCGAGGGCAGAGCTGGGAGCAAGCAGGGGTGAAGGCCAGTGCCCGCAGTTCTGCCCAAGTGGGCGGTCTGCGCAGGGATGGGGCAGGAGCAGGGGCAGGGGCAGGACCGGCTATGAGGGACTGGATAGGCCAGGAAAGCCCCACACCTGCTCACCTTCCCCATCCCTGGGAAGCCCCCAGGAGATGGGACAGGCTGGCCTCCCAGGATGGGCTGGGACCCGCACGAGGCCCCCAAACACCAGGGCAGACGGGTGCCCGGTGTCGGGAAGGGCCACAGAAGTGACCAGCAGCCCGGACTTCCCTGGGGCAGGACTCAGTGTCTCCCAGCCACTCGCTCCGTCCGGACTGGTGGGCGAGGCTGCAGGACCGCACCTGAGCGGAGCGGGGACTTGCTCTCACACGGCTTCGCCCACGTCTCCGAGAGCGCGTCAGCTGCAGCCGGCACAAGGCCCAGAGTTTCTCCCGAACACGGGCCAGGTCCCCAACGAGCTGGTCTCTTCGAGACCGCAGCCCCCAAGTTCTCCGGCCCGCGAGCCTCCTGTCCCTGAGAGAAGGGGCTGCCAGACCGGCCGGCCGTGGTGTGGACATGGAGCCCAGCCTGGGCGCTGAGGAGGCGAGGGGACCCCACCCCCACACACTGACCCCGCTGCCTGAGGCATAGCCAGGCTGCACTGGGGGGGGGGGGGCGGGCAGTCACAACCCTCTCTCCAGGCCTAAGGGACTGAATTCCAGGTGCCTCGACCCCAGCATCTGCCCGGAGGTGAAGAGGTGAAGCTGAGTCCAGAGAGGCCTCCAGGCCTCTCCCCTGGCGGCTCTCGCCCCGTGGGGTGCAGGGTGGGGTGCCCTGAGTGCGGCCCAGGGAGGGGCCCATGGACCGGGCCCCAGCAGTCGGGGTGGGGGTGCTGCCCTCTCCAGCAGGAAGGGGGGGCACGCGCTGTGGACACGGCCCTCCCACCAGAACTAGGAGGCTGGTCGCCATAGGCGGACACAGCTGACCTGAAGAGGGGACACCTGCTCACAGGGAGCACCGGGCCCCTGGGGGGGGGGGGGCAGGAAGAGGCCGGCTGCTGGCTGCTCCGGAGGGCTCTGCGTCACGTGCCCTGGACGGGGCTGCACCAGCTGCCCTCCCCGCACCCTGGGGTGTCTGCACCTGCGACCACCCGCCCCGAGTGCCTGACCACCAGGGTGTGGCTCCGGGTAAGACTGACCCTCCAGGCTTGGTTCTCCGTGAGCTCAGACCCCCGAAGACTAACCACGCAGTTAGGCCCCGGGTCCCTCCTCCCCCAGACAGGCCCTCTGGGGACGGAAGCCGCCCCTCGGCCCGCCTCGCCCAGGCAGGAGCAGCTCCGATTTCCGTCAATTAAAAGGAATTTATTCAGGACGCTCCGTGCGCGTGTGCGGCGCCAGCTGGGAGGGAGGAAGGCTGCAGCCGCCCCCCTCCCCCGCTCCCGCTGGGGGCCAGGCCGGGCCGCTACTCGCGCGCGTGCACGCGCTGGTGCTGGAGGAGCTGGGAGCTCTGGCCGAAGGCCTTGCCGCAGGCGCCGCAGGCGAAGGGCCGCTCGCCCGTGTGCGTCCGCAGGTGCCGGAAGAAGTGCGAGCGGCCGCGGAAGGCCTTGCCGCAGGCGCCGCACTCGTAGGGCTTCTCGCCCGTGTGGATGCGCTGGTGCTCGATGAGCACGGAGCTCCAGACGAAGGCCTTGCCGCACTGGCCGCAGGCGTAGGGCCGCTCGCCCGTGTGCAGCCGCCGGTGCCGCGCCAGGTTGGAGCTCTGGCTGAAGGCCTGGCCGCACTCCGCGCACTCGTAGGGCTTCTCGCCGTTGTGCACGCGCAGGTGCTGCGTGAAGTGCGAGCTGTGGCTGAAGGCGCGGCCGCACTGGCCGCACTCGTAGGGCCGCTCGCCCGTGTGCAGGCGGTGGTGCTGGATGAAGCCGGACCAGCCGCGGAAGCGCTTGCCGCACTCGTGGCAGGCGTAGGGCTTCTCGCCCGTGTGGATGCGCTGGTGCTTCAGCAGCAGCGACTGGTACCGGAAGCTCTTGCCGCAGGCCTCGCACCGGTGCGGCCTCCCGCTCCGCGGGCCCTGCCGCCCCCCGAGGCCGGAGTCCTGGCCGAGGCCCGAGGCCCCCAGCTCGGGGCCGCCCTCCGTCCCAAAGGCGCCCTGCGGCGCCAGCGTCCTGCGGCCGGCGCCCCTCTTCGGGGAGCAGGACCCCGGCCCTGGCGGCTGCTCCCGGCCCGGCGCCTGCGCACAGCTGTCCGCACCCGCGGGTCTGCGGGGGAGGCCCCTCAGCGGGGCCCTCAGCGCCGCGCCCTGGTCCGCCCCGTCCGCAGGGTCCGGCGGGCAGGGAGACCTTGGCGCCTGCTCGGGCTCCGACTCGGAATCTGAAAGGAGGAGCCGAGAGGTGGATGGTGCCCGCCACGCACCCATCCGCCCGCCCGCCCGCGGGCCCGGCTGTGCCGCTGGGGGCCCGGCTGTGCCGCTGGGGGCCGGGCTGTGCCGCTGGGGGCCCGGCTGTGCCGCTGGGGGGCCCGGCTGTGCCGCTGGGGGGCCCGGCTGTGCCGCTGGGGGGCCCGGCTGTGCCCCTGGGGGGCCCGGCTATGCCGCTGGGGGCCCGGCTATGCCGCTGGGGGCCCGGCTGTGCCGCTGGGGGCCGGCAGACTGAGCCGGAGGCAGAGCCGCAGGAGGAGGGCGCGGTGTCCCTCCCGGAAAGAGGTGCCGGTCTGGTCTGAGCCGCAGCTCCTCAAGGGCCCCGCCCCGCCCCCTCACCCTCTCCTTCCCCAACCGACCTCAGACCTGACACCAGCAGGACCTGCGGGTGGGGCAGGGCGCCGGGTGGCTTCTCAGGGGCAGAGGTGGGGGGACTGAGAGCTGAGGGCTCGGATCAGCCAGCCCCACCAGGCTCGGGGAAAGGGGTTGGGAACCAGAGCTTGATTTGGGGGACAAGGGGGAGAGAGGCCCAGGGACTCCCTAGTTGCCACCCTGGGGGCGGTGGTGCTGAGGAGGAGCCCCCAGGCCGGCAGGCAGGTGGCTCGGGGTCTGGTTGCACTCGGGGCCTCGGGAAGCCTCCGGAGAGGGTTCCAGCCGAGCCCAGGTGCTGCTCGGAACCCAGGTTCCGGTCCTGCAGTGACCTTGGGTGACCTCAGGCCACCCCAACCTTTCTCATCTGCTACCCTGGGCTCCCCACCCGCCCGGAGCCCGCACCCAGCACAGCCGCTGCCCCACGGACCTCGGCTTATCTGTGTCTGTGGCGAGGCCGGGCCTCCTGGGACATGGGCGAGGCCGGGCCCTCTGAGCGGGAGCCGGGCCAGGGGCACCAGGGGCACCAGGTGCTCGGGCTTGGCCGGCCCCTTCCGCACCTGCACAACCAGACCTGGCTGTCTGCGGCGAGGGGGCGGGGCTAGGCCTGGGCCCGCCCACGGAGGACCGTTTCCCAGGCTGGGCAGGGAGGTGCGGTGACTCGCTTCCGTCTAAGACCCAGCCACGGAGGGTGCTGTTCTCTGCCCCTGACGCCCCTCCCCAGGAACCGCTGCTCACCGCGCTGGCCCCCCTCAACCAACACTGCCTGGGTCCCCACAGGACCTGCGGCGCAGGAGCCCACACAAAGCTGCCTCGGTCCCCCACAGGGTGGGCGGAGCGGTGAGTACCGTGCTGGTGGCTGTGGAAGGGAAGCGGGGCCTCCCGGTGCGGGGTTCCAGGCGTCCCTGGTGGCTCCAGACTGACAGGGGGCGGGATGCGAGGGGGCTCCTGCCTGTCCCCCAGGGCTGCCATCGCCCGGCCTAGTGGAGGTGTGCACGCCGGACCTGGGGAGTGAAGAGCATGGCAGGGTGAGGGGTGCGGTGCCAGCTGGAGGGAGACAAGACGGCCCAGAGGTGCCGTGTGGGGCCTGGGTGCCGGCGACTTGGGGGCCGCTGGCCTGCGGGAGGCCGAGATCGAAAACGGAACCCTGTCTCCTGGAGCATGAACATTCCAGGCTGACCCTCACCGAGGCTTTCCCCAAATCGCCCTCCTCAGACCCGCGGGCCGGGGCTGCAGGAGGCGCCCCCCCCCCCAGGCCGTGGCGCTCAGCTCTTTTGGGGTCAAAGACCCTTTCCTTTAACCTGGTGAGCAAGGCCGGCCTGTGCGATGCAGCAGATTCCTTAGGGGGAGCCGGGACATGGGAAAGCAGCAGCCGCAGGGAGGAAGGGGAGGGGGGGAGGCGCCAGGAGGGTCCCGCCAGGGCCACCTTCTGGGTCAGCCCCCGGCAGCCTCCACCCTAGCAATGGAGAGGGTCTCGGGCAGCCAGGCGAGCGGACACAGGCGGGGCTGCAGTCACGGATCTGGGTGCAGGTCCTCAACCCCCGGGATGCTCGGTTAGGGTCCCGGGGCTCATCTGGGCGGAGCAGGCTCAGCCCTGGCTGTCACACCGGACACGGCACAGTGAGCGCAGGGTCCACGCCGCCGGCCCAGGGGCAAACCTTCCTGCGCCCCCTCTTCCCAGCGGGAGCCTGTGCCCCGGGGGTGAGGCCCGACTGGGAGGGGGTCGCTTGCCTGCAGAGAGCAGCCTGCGCCGCCGGGTCAGGTGCTCACACTCGCTGGCCGCGGCCCTCGGACCCGGGACTTCTCAGCCTCAGTTTACCGTCTGCAAAGCGGGCCTGACGGTTCCCGCTCCTCGGGCTCCGGGCGCCTGGGGCGCGCCCAGGGGCCAGTGCGCCGCCACCCGGCGGAGGCCTCCTCTCCGCCCTGGGGCGGCCACCCGCGCCCCCTCCCCGAGGCCGGGGTCAAGGTCACGGGGCGGCGGCGGCTACGGGGCGGGTTCGCCGGGACAACGTGCGAGCGCAGACCGAGCCGGGCGCCCCCGTGGCCGCCGCCCCCGTTCCCGCTCCCTCCAGGTGCCCACTCACCTTCCAGCCGGGGTGGCCGCCCCGCCAGAGCAGACCGGAAGTGATCCCGCCCCCCGTCCCGGCCGCGCGCGCTTCCGGCCGCTCTGGGCGCCTGGAGGACTGCCGCCTCGGTGGCCCCAAGGCCAGTGATGGAAGCGCACAAACTTGCTCCGGGCCGTGTTGTCCGAGTGGACAAGGGCGGCGGGCCTGACCCTCACCGGTCCCCCTTTTCTGTCCATCCCGCCTCTGCTTGCCCGGCCACCCTATGTCACCCCGGAGGGACAGGACCTGGGGGTCTGGTTACTCCTTGCGGGGACTTAGCCAATCCTGGGGTTCTCCCCTCCCCTCCCCCGTCTCTGCCTCACGTTCGGGGACACGGACCCTGTCCTCTGGACCTGCCGGTTTCTCCGCCTGAACGGCATCCCATCAAGCAAGTGCTCAGCTCTCTGCGGACAGCTCCCCTGACCTCCAGCTCCCCTGAGCCGGGCTGCCCTGTGGGATCCCAGCAGGTTCCCTGCCCCCACCTGTCCGTGCGACAGCAGCAAACATCCTACACATTGTCCGCGATCCCTTCCGGGGCAGGCTCGCCTCTCCTGCTCCAAGGCAGGCAGAGTGAGCCAGGGTGGGGACCTGAACGGGAGCCCGGGTCCCGGAAGCTGCCCGGCGCCTCCCAGACACCCGCTGGGCTGTGGCAGCGTTTCCCAGGTAGGGAGGGCACCGAGGGGCGCCTGCAGAGGGACTCGGTATCTTGTCACTGCAGGGTCACCCCCCGTTAGCAAGTTCCTGTTCTGATGTGTGTTGTCTCTCAGGGGGTTGGCTGCCCCGGAGACATCCACGGAAGGCAGCACCCAGCTGGCAGCACCCGGTCTCTGGCCGGGCTGGCCCAGGCCAGCTTCTCTTGGGGGGGGGCAGTGGTGGCTCCCTGGGGAACCCCACCTGCACCCCAGCCTGCCGAGGTGAACAGGGCACAGGGAAGGGGTCAGGACGGATGTTTATTGCCCGAGAAAACAGGTGCCAACGGCCCAGGACAGGAGGCACCATGCCGAGGGCGGCGGAGTGACCAGGAACCAGTGCGGTGGGGACACCAGGTGGGCACTGGGCCACAGGCGGGAAGCAGCGACGCCCTCCGGGGTGCGAAGGGACCACAAAGTCTAAGTCAGCCACTCTGACTATCAGGGTTAAAGTTCTGACGGTAAATCATCACCACAGCCCAGGCCTCCAGCCGTGTGTGAGCGCGCGCGGCCAAGGCCGCCTTGAGCCCGGGTCCGTGGGCGCGGGCTGGGCACCCGTGAGCGGCCCCGGCAGAGTGGACACCACAGCAGGGCGGCCGCGGGCGGCGCCGAGCGGACAGCTGCCGCTCCGGGCCGCTCCCGGGGGCGAGTGAGGCAGCTGCGGGCGAAGGCTCTCCCACATTCCTGGCGTCCGCAGGGCTGCTCTCCCGGCTCGTTTTCTGGCGTCCGGGCCGCAGCCGGAGGGCCCCTCCCGCTGTGCGCGCCGCTGGGGACCAGGCCCGCCTGTGCTTGAAGCGGCGCCCGACTCCCGCCCTCGCAGGGCTTCTTCCTCTGGGAAGGGACGAACGCGGACCCCCTGGAAGTCGTCTTTAAAGGAAGCATCGACGGCGTCGGAGACGTGGGCCTCGTCCTGGGGCTCAGGCCGGGCTCCCTGCTGTGCTCCTCGGCCAGACCCCTCGGGGCTCCCCACGTGCTGCCGGGGCCTGCGTGGGGCTCCTCGGGGGCTTCTGGCCGCCCTCACACCGGAGCGCCGTGTCCCTGCGGGGCGCGGGGAGGGCTGGGTCGTGTCCCCTTCGCCGAGCCCCTGGCTCCGGGTGCCCAGGCCCCGGCTGGCGGGCGCCTCCCGCGGAGGCTGGGTTTCCTCCGGCTGCCTCTGCGCGCTGAGCACCGGAACGAAGCGGCGCTGGAACGGAGAGGCCAGGCCCGCAGGCACAGAGACACGCACGCCCCGGCCCCACAGCCGGCTGGGCGGGGGCGCCGGCACCTGCTGAGCAGCTTCGGGGTCGCTGTGCTGCTTCGGGGACCGCGCCCCTCGGAGCCAGCGGCTCCGGGAGCCCAGGCGCGGGGGGCCCACACCGCCCGAAGGGACCCGGGAGCCCCTGGCTGAGGGCGGGGCGGGGAAGGAGGCCACCCTCGCCGAGCCCCGCGCAGACCCGCCGCCCACAGACAGCGCTCCGCGGCTGCCCAGCCCCGCAGCGCCTGCCGGAAGCGCCCGCCTCTGGGCCCGCCCCTTCCGGTTCCGCTCTAGGAAGCGCGGCTCCCGGCCTCTCTATGATGCGTCGCGGAGGACTCCGCCCCCCGGCCGGCTCCGCCCACCGGTCCGCTGGCCCCTCGCTCGCCCTGAGCCCCCCCTTGCACCCCTGCGGCCCCTCACTCACCGCTGCTCCCCTCGCCCACCCTGCGCCCCTTCCTTCACTGGGTCCCCTCACTCCCTCCCGCACCCATCACTCACCCCTGCACCCGCTCACCTCGGGCAGGAATAACGGACGGTGATTAAGAGCGGGGGGGGGGGGGCACGCGTGAAGCCTTTCCTCACGTTGCTCCAACCCTCTTCCCACTTCCCCGTCCCGCCCCGCCTCTCCCCACCCCTTCCAGGGGGCCAGAGACCCAGCCCTGGTCCCAGGGGCGCTCCTCCGGCGCCTCCCTGCGTCAGCACCGGTCAGCTGGGTGCTGAGTGCCGCCCCCGTGGGACCCGCCCCCGTGGGACCCGCCCCCGTGGGACCCGCCCCCGTGGGACCCGCCCCCGGTCAGGGGTGCTGCGAGGTGCGCGGGCCTGAGGTGGGCCCTCTGCTCCGGGCGGCTCCTGCTGGCCGTGGCGAGCTGACCCGTCCTCTCCCCGCAGCCCCGCTGTCAGAGGTGGGGGCTGTCAGCAGTCTCGGTCCTCAGGAAGGCCCAGCTTTGGGTGACTGCCTCCTCCTCACCCCCTTCTCCAGCTTGAGAACAAGGACAGGAAGCGCGCTGCGGCCACCTGCTTCCTGTGCTGGCCGAAGCCAAGACTGGGTGGGGTGTGTCAAGGGAACAGGCAGGTGCCCCCAGGACAAAATGGACCCAAGTTCTATGGGAGGATGGGAGCTGCATGGGAGGGGTGCCTAAGGCAGCTCTGCTCCCCAGGGGCCCCAGAGGCTGCTGGGCCCAGATAAGACGGGAACACGGTGTCCCCCCTGAGCTGACTCCCAGTGCCAGGGCTGGGTGGGGGACACAGGGCCCTGCCGTGGCCCCAAGGACTGGTTTCAGGGTGGGGGTGGCGAGGAGGGAAGGGGTGCTTCAGCCCAAAGGCAGGCACTGCCCTCCTCATTAGGGGCAAGTGGAAGGGGGTCACTGAGGGAGCAGGGCCAGTGGGCTGACTCAGGGCCGGGGAAAGGGACAGACAGATGCCCCACAGGAGACAGCACAGAGCCTGACCCAGGGCAGCCCCACAGTCAGAGCAGGAACCTGAGCACAGAGGCTAACGGCCTGCCAAAGTCACAGCCAGGAAATGAGGCCACCTCAGCCCTGGGCCCCGCAGCCCCTGTGTCGCCCTGAGGGCCCCTGGGCCCCCAGTCACACCGAGGGGAGATGAGATGCTCCAACAGCATCTGAGTTGCAGGCAGAGCCCTGACCCACAGCCACGAGGCTCCAGAAGCTTCCAGCATCAGCTTCCCTAGGCCAGCGCCTGCACGCCAGCTGAGGGGTCGCTCTGGGCAGTGCTGGTGAGACCCTCTGAGGCCTGGGGCTGCTTCCTGCACCCCAGGGGCGGGGCAGGAAGGCGTGGGAGGGGCTGTGCACTCAGACTCCACGGTGACAGCGCCCAGTGCTCCCCATCAGCCGGTCCGAGGATTATTTTTTCATTGATGTGTAAAGAGCGTGGAAGGAAGGGGGAGACGGAGAGAGGGAAACATCGATTGGTTGCCTCCCCTATGCGCCCCAACTGGCGCTGGGGATCAAGCCTGCAACTGAGGCACGTGCCCTTCAGCCCGCAGGCCGACACTCTATCCGCTGAGCCACCCGGGTGAGGGCTCCTGAGGCTTCTGGTCCTAAGGGGCTCCCTTCTGGTCATTGTGCGGGCAGAGCAGCCGCCTGGGAGGCCCCGAGTGTGGGCTGGAGGGCGTGGCCTAACAGCCGAGCCAGGGGCCCTGACCCCTCTGTGCCCACCTGCTGCGCCTGAACGGCTGTGAGTGTGCCCATTAGTGTGTGCACACACGTGGGTGGGTGTGCGAGTGTGTGGACATGACAGGGACAGAGGAACCGGAGATAACTGGCTTCTGCTCCCTCCCGGTCGTCAGCCATCCGGGCCCTCCCTCCCTGCTGCTGTCAGAGCCGCCTCAAGGCACACGGTGGATGCTGAGCTCCAGCCCTCATTCCTGCCAGCGGCCTGCCACCTTCCGGCGAGGGGCAGGAGGCGCCAGGTATGCTGAGCTGGTGGGGACTTGGGCAGCTTGTCCCATAACTGCTCTGATGGGGAAACTGAGGCCCAGGCCAGACCCCCGCCCCCCACAACCCCGGGCTGGGGAAAGCAGAGTTTGGTGAGGTCAAGAAGGCCAAGCACACCCGCCGGCGTGGCTCAGGGGCTGAGTGTTGACCTATGAACTGGGAGGTCAGGGTTCAATTCCCGGTCAGGGCACAGGCCCAGGTTGCGGGCTCGATCTTCAGTGGGGGGTGAGCAGGAGGCAGCTGATCAGTGATTCTCTCTCACCATGGCTGCTTCTCTCTCTCTTTCCTGCTCCCTTCCTCTCTGAAATCAACTTAAAAAAAATTTTTTTTAAAGATGGCCAAGCGTGCAGCAGCCAGCACACAGCTCCGCACAGCCAGAGCAGACACGGGAGCCCACGGGGACAGGGGCAGGGGCAGGGGCAGGGGCAGGGGCAGGGGCAGGGCAGGCTGGGTGCTCCTCCCCACGCCCTCCCACTGCTACTCCCCTGCTCAGCAACCCATAGGCCTGCTCCAGCCCCTCCGCCAGCTCCTCCCACCTCCTCCCACTCCCTGCGCCGGCACCCACTGGGCACCGTCTCTGCAGCGCCCCCCCATGGGAGGCAGATGAATGGACGGAGGCAGGAAGCATGGGGAGAAGTGGACTCCCCAGCACATAGCCAGTGGCTGAGGCCTGCTCAGCCCTCCATCACGGGCAGAGGGAGAGGAGGGCAGTCGGGGAAACTGAGGCAGTGTAGGTAGGCCGGGAGGAGCCAGTGCTGGCCTCCAAGTTTATTCTCTAAAACGGGGGCAGGAGAGGACGATGCCGGGCGGGCAGGGGGCTGGCCGGGCCGGGGGAGGGCCCGCTCCGCTCAGGACCCCGCGGCTGAGGAGCAGGCTGAGCAGGAGGGCGGCGGCCACGGCTGCGGGGCTGCCCCGGGGGCCGCGCCCCCCGCCGCCCTGCCAGGGCGGGGAGTTGCACAGGGCGGTCTGGCAGCAGATCATGGTCATCTCCGTCCCCTCGACCGTCCTGGCCACCGGCTTGCAGGCGTCTGTGCACCACCCCGAGTAGGCGGTCAGAGGCCCCGATTCTGGGGGCGGGCAGAGACGGGAGTCACGCGGGAGGGGGCTGGGGAGGAGGCCCGCGGAGGGCCGTGCGCCTCGGGGCGTCCGTGGCCACTCACCGGAGTCCCACCGCGACACGAAGGCCTTGCAGAAGCGCTGGGTGAGGGGGCAGCAAAGGGTCTCCCGGCAGGTCTGCCCCTCCGTCAGGGACGAGCAGGCGTAGCATCGCAGCCCTGGGGACAGGCTCAGCCTCGGCACCACCCCTCCCCCGGCCTCTGCCCGCCAGGCCCCCGGCCCGTCCCAGGCAGAGCCGGCCCCTCCGAGCCCACCTGGCCCAGGGCTGGGTGTTAGAGCCAGGGGAATGCGGGTGTGTGTGTGTGTGTGTGTGTGTGTGTGTGTGTGTGAAGGGGTGGGGCAGCAGTGCTGGGAGTCGGGGCCACGCAGGCTGGCGATACCCTGGGCTCTATCCCCGCGGGTGGGACAGAGGAGGGTGGGCCAGCTGCCTGGGGGAGGGGTTGGGTGGGTCTCCTCTGTGCTCTGGGCTCTGCTTTAAGCCCCCCCCCCCGGCTCCTGCTCCCTGCAGGAGCCTCCCCCCCAAGCCCGGGTTGGCCCCCCCCATCTTGCCCTCCCGCCTGGCCAGACGGGTCCTGCATTCTGTGGCTGTTGCTCTCCTCCCCCCAGGATGTTCTCCCATGACTGTGGGGAAGAGTGGAAGGGAGATGTGAGAGAAACACGCCGATGGGTTGCCTCCTGCATGAGCCCCAACCAGGGCCCTGGCCGGGGGGAGCCTTTAATGGAGGCATGTGCCCTGGACAGGAATTGAACCCGGGACCCTTCGGTCCACAGGCTGACACTCTATCCACTGAGCCATACTAGCCAGGGCTGCTCCTGTTTTTCTGATGAGACTCAACCAGAGGTCCATGTGTCCCTGGCCTCTCCATCCTGAGCCCGCTGCACCCCTCTGCTTGGTGAACCCCGGCTCAAACCCCCTTCACCCCCACCCCAGCCCTGAACACCATCGCCCTCCCCCTCCCCTGGGCTCCTACTCTGGGGGGCAGTGGAGAGTCCTGGGCAGGGTGCTGATGAGGCTCCCCTCCTTGCCTGCACCCCTGGCTGGGAGGCAGATCCCCAGGGGCCCACAGGGGGGGCTGGGCATGAGGAGTGTGTGCCCGCGGCCGGGGCAGTGGATGGTACCTCTGTCCTCCGGCCCCTCGTCCTCCTCTTCCTCCTCATAGTCGTCATCGTAGCTCTCCAGCCCCAGGTCCTCGTCCTCCACCCCGTCCTGTGTCTGTCCCCTCCCTGGCCACAGGCACCTGTGAGCCTCCGGACCCCGCCCCGCCTCCCAGGCTGCCCACCTCCCCGAGTGTGACCGGGCACCGTCCTCACAGCAGCACCAGCTGCTGTGGCCGGCTCTGGACAGCAGCCCCCCCCCCCCGCCCCCGATGGCCTGCCCACCTGCCCATTGTACAGAGGGGAAAACTGAGGCTGGAGGGGAAGCCCCAAAGATTGTGCTTCGGAGAGGCTGAATCTGGGGCTTAGGGAGGGGAGCCTCTGCTCCCAGGACTGGCTGGGCTGGGGCTGGGGCTGGGGCTGGAGCTGGGACTGGGGCTGGGGCTGGGCTGGGGCTGGGGCTGGGGCTGGGCTGGGGCTGGGCTGGGGCTGGGGCTGGGGCTGGGGCTGGGGCTGGGGCTGGGCTGGGGCTGGGGCTGGGCTGGGGCTGGGCTGGGGCTGGGGCTGGGTTGGGGCTGGGCTGGGCTGGGGAGATTTGGAGACCGTGGGCAGCCCCCTCCACCTCCCTCCGGCCTCGGTCCCTGGCCTCACGCCCTCCATCCCAAGCCGCGTCCTGTCCCCAGGCTGCGGGGCCGTGGGCGGGGCGGTGGCCCCTGGCTGCAGCGTCGGCTCTGAGTACCTGGCCGCTTGCACAGCAGCAGGGCGAGCAGGACGGCGGCGAGCGCCTTCATCCCGTGGCCGTGGTCTGCGTGGTCTGTGCAGCCGCGTCTCTGCGCTCCGTCCTGCTGGGCCCGGGCCGTGGGAAGTATGATAAAGAGCATTGCTGGGGGCTTCCTGGAGGCCCCCGCCCCCCCGCCCCCTGGCTCCATCGAACAATTGGATGGTTTCCCTCCCGGACTTCAGGGACCCAGGGAAGGGAAGTCGGCGTGGCTGGCCTTGGGGAACCCCTGCATCTGTGCGGCGCTGCCCCAGCCCGGCGCCTGCCCCACGCCCCAGCCTGCAGCGCCGCCTGCCAGCGGGCCACTTTATCGAAGTGGAACTCAACTCCCTCAGCCGACCTTTCAAAACCTCAGAATAGCCATGGCTGGTGTGGCTCAGTGGTCGGATTGTCAGCCTGTGCATGAAAGGGTAGTAGCTTCCAGGTCAAGAGCACTACCTGGGCTGCAGGTTCGATTCCTGGCCCTGGTTAGGGTGCCTGTGGGTGGCAGCAAGTCCATGCGTCTCTCTCACATCGAAGTGTCTCCCCCCGCCCCTTCCTTCCACTCTTTCTCAAAATCAATGAGGAAATATCTCGGGTGCAGATTAACATAAAACACAAAAACTTCAGAATAACTGCAGAGGAAGGAAGCAGCTCGTGTCCTGAGCCAGAAAAATATTACGTGGGTGAAGCGGGCAGAGAGCACACTGTCCTGTGTGTGAAAAGGGAGGAAGTGGCCCTGCCTCCCAGGCTTTGCGTCTGTGCAGAGCTTGGTCCATCTGGCTACCCAGGCTGCGCCTCCTGACTGCCCAGGCCCCGCCTCCTGACTGCCCAGGCCCCGCCCCCGACTTCTCTAGGCCCCGCCCCCGGCTGCCCCAGGCTCCGCCCCCAACTTCTCTAGGCCCCGCCTCCTGACTGCCCCAGGCCCTGCCTCCCAAGCTTTGCGTCTGTGCAGAGCTTGGTCCATCGGGCTACCCAGGCCCCGCCTCCCGACTGCCCCAGGTCCCGCCTCCTGACTTCCCTAGGCCCCGCCTCCTGATTGCCACAAGCCCCGCCTCCTGACTGCCCAGGCCCCGCCTCCTGAATGCCCCAGGCCCCGCCTCCTGGCTGCATGGGGCCCCTTCCGCAGGTGCCCGGGGCCACACTGGCCTGTCCTCAACTGTGGAGCAGGCAGCCCTGGTGGCCGCCTGAGAACAGGCCGCTGGGCAGCACCTTGCCCATCCCAATCCAGGGGCCGGAGTCTGGGCCTGGGTCCAGGGCTGCAGCCGGGCCGGGAAGGCTCAGACCCGCCTCCAGCTCCGGTCCCACAGGTGCTGTCCCCTGAGCTGGACACACCTTCTGCTGACATGGAGGCCACGATCGCCTCTTTCTTCAGCGCAGCCCAGGTGCCTGGTCCTTCCGCGTGGGGGGCCCCACAGAGCGCGGAGGATGCTGAGCCTGCTCTCCAAGGAGCGGGAGTGCCCAGAGCCAAGCGCGAATGACCTGAGGGGGTCTGGTCCCCACTGGCCGCTGGGTCTGACCCAGGGGAACGTGCAGGTGCGGGAGAGGAAGCAGCCTCAGGGGCCCCACGCAGGCCAGCAGGTGATAGAAACAGGGGTGCTGGTGCTGGTGCTGGAGGGGCGCAGGGAGAGCATCAAGGGGCGGTGGAGGTGGGGGGGCAGGAAGTGTGAAGTTCTAGGCCATCAGGGCTGGTGGGCCTCAAGGGTGAGATGGTCCCTTCCTGGAGGGAGAGCCAGTGCCCAGGTGAGGCGTGCCCACCTGGTGGGATGGTCCCTTCCCAGTGCCCAGGTGAGGCGTGCCCTGCTCAGAGCAGCCCTGGGCCTAGCCCCAGGTGCCCAGGCCAGCATTGATCCCCCCTCACTCTCCCGGGGCCCCCCAGGGTCAGGGATAATCTCCATCTGGGAGCCGGCAGCCCTGCAGGAAACGGGCGTGTGAGTGACAGCGGTCCCTGCTGACCCCCAGCTGGCCCCTCGGGGAGGCCACTGCTTTTGGGAAGCAGACCTTCGCAACATGGCCGCCAGCCACACCCCCAGTCTCCGAGGTGTGGGGGTCTGATGGTATCCCCACAAATACCGGGAGGGGAGCTCAGCTCACCCCCCACCCCGGGACCCCAGCCTCGGCCCTTCCCCGCCAGGGCCGGAGCCAGAGGCCTGGCCAATGGCTGGAGAGCCGCGGCCTCTGACCCTGTCCCTGGTCCTGACCGCCGCGGAGAGGCTGTGTCCTTGACCCTGAGCACAGAGTCGCTCGCCCCAGGCTTCGGGCAACTTGCCAGAGTGGCACCTGTCAGGGCAAGATCCCGGTGCCCCTCGCCAGGATCTGGGTACCTGAGCAGGTCGGGCTGGGAAGGGGGCGGGCAGGCCAGCTGTCACCCGCCCGCCCGCAGGAGCAGCCGTGCGCCTGCAGGAGGGGCCCGGCCCACCGGGCTCACCCTTTCTTGTGCTAATCATGGCAGATTGTCACTCGAGTGTGCACAGCCCTGATAGGATGAAGCGGACCCACGTGTGCCGGGAGGCAGGCAGGGTGGCTTGGAAACCGGGATAGGAATCTGTTTCCTTGGCAACCAAGCCCGGCGGCGTGGGAGAGCCCCGAGCGGCATTGCCAGGGGCTGGCCCCACCTCCCGGGATGTTAAATCTCTCTGGACACCGGGCTCCTGCCCCTACTGCCCCATCATGTCCCCCATGTGCCCCCCTCCCCGTCATGCCCCACCCACCTGTATGCTCTTTGCCGCGTAACAGATCACCCCCAAAGATAGGGGCTAAACAGCACCACGTACGGCTCGCAGGGTCCGGGACAAAGTAGAGAGAACGGGGTGGCTTCACGGTCAGCGCAGCGGCCGGGACCCGGCTCATGCAGCGATGAGGCTGGCGCGTCCAGCAGCAGGTCGGCCGGGTGGCCAGCAGCCAGGGGAGGCAGGAGGAGCCAAGGTTTCAGCTCAATTCGAAGGCCACCTGCTGGCCCTGACTGGTGTGGCTCAGTGGATAGAGCGTCGGCCTCAGACTGAAGGGTCCCAGGTTCAATTCCGGTCAAGGGCATGTACCTTGGTTGGGGGCACATCCCCAGTGAGGGGTGTGCAGGAGGCAGCTGATCAATGTTTCTGTCTCATGGATGTTTCTAACTCCCTATCTCTCTTTTCTTCCCTATGAAAAACCAATACAAATATATATATATATATATATATTTTAAAAGCCACCTGCTGGTGACATCCCCTCCCTAAGGGCAGTCAGTCCTCAGTTCCACCAGCCCTTCCACGGATCGGGTGAGGCCCACCATGGCCCCGGGAGGCGGTCTGCTGACCTCAGAGCCCATGGCGTCAACCCGACCTCAGCGACTTCCTTCCGAGCACCTTTCAGGCTCAGTGTCCCCGCCTCTGGGCCTTCCCTGTCGCTGTTGAAATGCTGCTGCCAGTCTGGCTGCCGTCCCGTTCACGCTGACCTCCCTCCCTTTTGGCTGATTTCAAGGTCTTTCATCTTAAAAAAAAAAAAAAAAATAGAACTTGACTTTATTGAAAAGTGTATATATCTCATCCTATAAAAGGGCAATATGCAAGTGAACCATCAAGGTCTCTGGTCTCTGGCGGTCTGCAGTTCGGCGGCGTTGTAACCGGTGTGGGGGTTTGCTTGTTTGTTTATTCTGCTTAGTATGTTATGCTTCTCTGGAAATCCTTATCTGTCACCAGTTCTGGAATGTTCTCAGGCATAGCATCTTCAAATACTGACTCTGTCTTTTGGGACTGATATTACTAGCTCTTGGCACACTATTTCTTGTGTATTAACGTTGCTTTTCTTTCATTTATTTATTTATTTATTTTTTATTGATTTCAGAAAGGAAGGAAAGGGAGAGAGAGAAAGATAGAAACATCGGCGAGGAGAGAGAATCATTGCTTGGCTGTCTCCTTACTCCCCCTGCTGGGGATCGAGCCCACAACCACAGCATGTGCCCTTGACCGGGATTGAACCCGGGTCCCTTCAGTCCCCAAGCCGACGCTCTATCCACGGAGCCAGACCGGTCCCGGCCCTGTGCTATATTCTTGATCACGTCTTTCGATTTACAGTCCAGTTCACAAATGCCCGCTCCGCCTTGTGTCTGACGTGCTGCCTCGCTCATCTGCTGAGCTTAGCAGCCGCCTCATTGGAATGGAATCCACATCCTATAAAATCCCCCGTGTACAGGGCACCACTCCGCGGCTTTCAGTAGAGTCACAGGCTTGTGCCTCCATCCCCACTCGCGTTTTCAGAACATCTCCTGGGAAAGAAGCCCCTGGACCGTTAGCCGAGACGCCCGTTCCTTCCTTCAGCCGGCCACCGCTGGGCGATTCTGTGTCTTCCGGGTGTTTCTGCCCCGCACATTCCCGCGGAGGCAGTGGCTCTCCACCTTCCACCAACCTTTGCTCCTGTCTCCACCCACAGGGGGAGAACCGCCGGCAGGGTCGCCGTCGGAGAACACAGGCATTTCCATTTCCATTCGCGAACAGTAGCCACGTCACAGTTATGAAGCGGCAGTGAGAACAGTGTTATGGTGGGGGAGGAGCTGTGTCAAAGGGCCGGGCGGCAGGCAGGCGGGAGCCGCGGCAAAGGAGCCCGTACCGCGTCTCACTCCCCCTGTCCCCACGTGGCCCGGTTCTCCAGAGGCCTCTGCTGCCCTTTCGTTCCGGCACAGCGTGTCCATTGCTGGAGGAGCCGTGTTTCCCGGGAGCAGGCCAGTTGTCACAGGCTGGCTTCCTACGCCCGGGTCTGAGGCCCCCGTCCACCACGGCCGGCCACTGGTCACTGTTCCGGCTGCATCTCCCTCCGGACGCTTGTTTTCTGTGGGTGTTAGTGGGTGTTTGACTTTGAGCTCGTGTTTGGGCTCGGCGCGCTGTGTGGGAGCCCCCATGTCCGCCTTTGCCTTCGTGCCTCTGAGCGGCCGACAGCCGTGGCGTCACCGGCCGCGTGTCACCGCCGCGCCCTGGCAGCCTCGGTCTCCTCCTCCTTGAGATGGGGACGATGGCCGTCCCCGAGGGCAGGGATGCTGGGAGGCTTGCTGAGAGAGAGATCAAGGGTTCATTTCCCTATTTATTTATTTTTTTTTAGATTGGTTTCAGAGAGGAAGGGAGAGGGAGAGAAACGCCCATGATGAGAGAGAAGCGTTGGTAGGATGAGCCCACAGCCCGGGCGTGTGTCCTGAAGGAGCCAAACCGTGGCCTCCCGGTTCGGAGGCTGCTCAGCCCTGAGCCGCGGGGCGAGCAGCAGGTGTGACTGGCACATCTCGGGACAATCAGCCACGCCCGTCCGTCTAAGGAGCGATTCCCATCCTGTTGTCGCGGCCCAGGGCGCGCTAGGCCAGCAGCCGGAGAACTGGAGGACAGATGGAGGCAGGACGCCAGGAGCGACCCCCGTTTGCCCCCCGGCTGTGGGGTCCAGGACCTGGACCCGGGGCAGAGGCTGCGGCTGGGCCAGGCCCTGAGACCGGGCAGAGGCTGCGGGAGAGACCCAGCTGAGCCTGTAGCCCGAGCGGGGGCCTGGAGGTCTGGCTCCAGAGGGGGCTGGCCCTGGTGGATGTGATGGAGAGGGCAGCCCGGGGTTGGGGGGGTGGAGAGGGCAGCCCGGGGCTGGGGGAGTGGAGAGGGCAGTCCGGGGCTGCTGGGGGGGGTGTGGAGAGGGCAGTCCGGGGCTGGGGGGGGGTAGAGAGGGGCGCTCAGAGGGATCAGCCCGAACCCGAGAACCGGGGTGGGCGGGGGAGGGGAGGGGCCGGGCTGTGCGCCCAGAACGGGACTCGCATCCGCACCTGCGCCCTCCCCCCTGCCTCCCGCTCCGTGTCTTTGTGCGTTTCGCTTCCTTCGCAGTAAACGCTCCTCCGAGAAATCCCGCGGGGACCTCGGCGGAGCGGGGAGGGGAGAGGGGGAGGGGAGGGGGAGAGGGGAGGGAGAGACGGAAGGGGGAGAGGGGAGGGGGAGGATAGAGGAGGGGGAGAGGGGAGGGGGAGAGGGGAGGGGGGAAGGGAGGGGGAGGAGAGAGGAGGGGGAGAGAGGAGGGGAGGAGAGAGGAGGGGGAGAAGGGAGGGGAGGGGAGAGGGAGGGAGGGGAAGGGAGGGGAGGGAGGGGAGCGGGGAGGGGGAGAGGGAAGGGGGAGAGGAGGGGGAGAGGGGAGGGGAGGGGAGGGGGAGGGAGGGGAGCGGGGAGGGGAGGGGGGAAGGGAGGGGAGGGGAGAGGAGGGGGAGAGAGGAGGGGAGGGGAGGGCAGGGGAGGGGAGGAGAGGGGAGGAGAGGAGGGGGAGAGGGGAGGGCAGGGGAGGGGAGGAAAGGGGAGGAGGGCTCCGCGCGCTCGGGGCGGGGAGCGGAGGCGGCGGAGGGAGCGGGCAGCGCCGCCGGCTCAGGCACCGGACGCCCCGGACAGCGACCAGGCTCGGACCCGGAGCCCTCGGCCCCCGGCCCTGGCCCCCGCCCCGCCCCAGCTCCGCCCCGCCCCGCCCGCGCGGGGTCCGCGTCTGCGGCTGCGCCCCCGACAGACGGCTGCGCCGGGCTGGTCCGCAGAGACCGGGACCGCTCCGCCCGGACCCGGACCCGGAGCCGGAGCCGGAGCCGCGCCGCCGGGGATGTGAGTGCCGACCGCGGCCTGCGCTCCGCTCCGACCGGTGAGCGCCGGCGCGGGCGGCTCCGCTCCGGGGGGGGGGGGGGGGTCCTGGCTGCGCCTCCCCGGCCGCACCGGCCGCCGCCCCTCCGGACGCCGCGGGGGGACGCGCCGGACACCTCCGCCCCAGGTGCTGGGCGGGGGGCGCCCGGCCTGTGAGTGCCCGGCGGGGGGCGGCGGGGCGCCCGGCCTCGGGGAGGGGAGCCCGGCGGGGGCGGCGGGGGGCCCGGCCTCGGGGAGGGGACCCGGCGGGGGGCGGTGCCCAGCGGGGGCCGGCGGGGGGCGGAGGGGACCCGGCGGGGGGCGGAGGGGGCCCGGCCTCGGGGAGGGGGGCCCGGCCTCGGGGAGGGGGGCCCGGCGGGGGGCGGAGGGGGCCCGGCCTCGGGGAGGGGAGCCCGGCGGGGGGCGGCGGGGGGCCCGGCCTCGGGGAGGGGAGCCCGGCGGGGGGCGGCGGGGGGCGGGGGGCCCGGAGGGGGGCGGAGGGGACCCGGCGGGGGGCGGTGCCCGGCGGGGGCCGGCGGGGGGCGGAAGGGGTCCGGCCTCGGGGAGGGGGGCCCGGCCTCGGGGCGGGGGGCCCGGCCTCGGGGAGGGGGGCCCGGCCTCGGGGAGGGGGGCCCGGCCTCGGGGAGGGGTGCCCGGCGGGGGCAGGAGAGGCGGGTCCTGCGGGCCCGGGGCCCAGTCCGCTGACCCGGCTCCTCCCGCCAGGCCCGCGCCCCGAGGACCCGCCCGCGCCCCCGCGCCTTAGAGGCCGGAGCATGCTGCCCCCCGCCATGAAGGGCCTGGGCCTGGTGCTGCTGGCCGCCCTGCTGTGCTCCGCGCCCAGTGAGTCTGGGCAGCCCACCCGAGGGCCCCGAGAGCGCCAGGGTGGCCCCCTCCCCATCAGACCACCCCCTCCTGGGCCCCCAGCCCCGCCCTCACCCCGGGCCCTCACCCCGGGGCCCTCACCCCGAAGCCCTCACCCCATCACCTGAGGCCCTCACCCCTGGCCCTCACCCAAGACCCTCCCCCTGGCCCTCCCCCGGGCCCTCCCCCATGAATCTCCTTAGGCCGCTCCTCCGGGCCTCACACCGGCTGGTCAGGCAAGGGTGCCCTCGCCAGGCAGGGTCCTGCACCCCGTCACCCTCTGAGCCCCATGCACACGCCCAGCAAGTCCTGTCTGGTCCTTGGAAGCTTAGAACCGCTGAGCTGTGGCGGGGGAGGGGTGCGGGTGCAGGAGGGCCGCTCAGGTGTGGGTGCTCCTCTGAGGGGCCCGGAGGGGGCTCCAGAGCCCCAGGGGGGCCCCAGGGCCAGGACACCACCACCCCCTCCGCGCTAGCAGGAAGCCCCGCAACTTCTCCCAGGCCCGCCCTCCATGCTGCTCTGGCCCGGGCCTGTCAGTCTGGGGGTGCCCGGCTGCCACAGCCACACAGCAGCAGACAGGTGGGGGCACAGGGGCTGGCCGCCCGGCCGCGACCCCTCTGGTCACCCCCTCCTCGGGCCCGCCCAGCTCACGGCCTGTGGTGCCAGGACTGCACGCTGACCACCAACTCCAGCCGCTGCACCCCAAAGCAGTGCCAGCCCTCAGACACCGTGTGCGCCAGCGTCCGCATCACCGACCCCAGCAGCAGTGAGTGCGGGCGGGCGGGGTGGCCGTGCCCGGCAGCGTGGGCGGTGAGCGCCGGTCTGCTGGGCGGGGAGCACGGGCAGGGTGGCCGTGCCGGGCAGCGTGGGCGGTGAGCGCCGGTCTGCTGGCCGAGAGGACAGTCAGGGCTGCCCCCCCCCCCCAGGCCGGAAGGACCAGACGGTGAACAGGATGTGTGCCGCCTCCTGCGACTTCGTCAAGCGGCACTTCTTCTCCGACTACCTGATGGGCTTCATCAACTCGGGCATCCTGAAGGTGGACGTGGACTGCTGCGAGAAGGACCTGTGCAACGGCGGGCCTGGGCCGGGCGGCAGCCCCTGGGCCCTGGCCGGGGGGCTCCTGCTCAGCCTGGGGCCCGCCCTCCTCGGGGCTGGGCCCTGAGTGTCCCCCTCCCCCTTCCCCAAGGGCTTCTAAGCTTGTCCCTGGGCCCGGCTGCCCTCCTGGGCCTGGCTGCCCTCCTGGGCCTGGCTCCGCCGGGGCTGGGGCCCTGGTCGCTGGCCTGGTCCTGGCCCCAGTCCGAGGCCCTCGCCCCTCCTTGTCTCTCCACCAGCTCTGAGTCCCTGCCCGCGGGTCACCTCCGGGCCACGTGTCCATCGTCTGTCGGGTGGGCCGGGGGCTGGGGGTGAGGGCAGGGGGCTGGGGCCTCCAGGTCTCTGAGGGGAGCTGGGCCATGCCAGGCCCAGCCCAGCAGCCAGCTGTGAGCCTCTTCTACAGAAATAAAGTCACGTCTGAGTCTGGAGACCCGGGTCTGAGCCTGGGGGGGAGGGGGGGTCCTGGCAGGGAGGGAGGGAGGTGCTGAGGGCGGGAGAGCAGGTGGCGCCATGCGGGTGGGCACCGGGCGGGCTCTGGGGGCCGTGGTGCTGGGCCGTTGGGCCTGGTGAGGTTGGGAGCAGGGGGAGGGGAGGGAAAAGCCCAGGAGAACAAGGTCATAGCTGGGCCTGACGGGCGTGTGCTCACCGTGACGGCAGCTGCGTACAGATGTGCAGACTCGTGCCCGCACCCACGGACGCGGCAGGGGACACCCGCATCCACGCCCATAGTCACACGCTCACACCTGGGTCCCCTGAGCACGTGGGGGCCTGCACACGCTCACACCGCCTCCGGGGCGTTCGGTGGGAGGGCTGGGGAGGACCTGGGGTGGCATGGCCCGGCCTGCCTGCTCCCGGCGTGGTCCTGTCCCCCGCCCACCACTGGCCGTGTGGCCCCGTCAGCTGGGCGGCGCCGGCGGCCACTCCAGGCTCCTCGGGTCCGAGTTCGTCCAGTTCCTCCTCCTCCTGTGTGGCCGCCGCAGGCCTGGCCCGTGGGGTCCTGAGCTCCGAGGAAAGATGTGGTTTCACCAAGAGCCGGCATGACCTCCAGCCCACTCCGCCGCCCGCCGAGCCCTGGAGAGGCGGGGCCGGGGTGGGCCGGGGACAGCCCGGCCGGGGACTGGCGCCGGCTCCTGCCAGGGCGCTGGCCGGGGGCTCTGGGAGGCGCCCCGTCCCGCCCCCCGAGCCTCAGGACAGTGTGCGGCCGCGGCCTCGGCTGGTGCTGTGGCCGTGGGGACGCCGCTGGCGGAGACCCAGGCCGCCCGCCCAGGGGCAGGAGCAGGGGCACTGGGTGCCCGCCGGTCCGGGGAAAGCCGGCCCCGGCCGCGCCCGGGCCGTCAGAGCTGCGTGACACCCATCCTCGTGCACGGAGCCCACTGCTTCCGGGGAGAATTTAAGCCCGGAAAGAGGAAGCCGCTGGCTCCCGGGTTTTACAAGTGCATTCCCATTGGCCTCAGAGCGGAGGGAGAGGGAGGGAGCGTTAGAACATCCAGGATGAGAGAGAATCCTGGACCGGCTGCCTCCTGCACGGCCCCCATGGGGATGGAGTCCGAGACCCGGGCAGGAGCCCTGAGCGGGAATCGAACTGGCAATCCGCAGCCACTGAGCCACACAGGCTGGACTCTTCCGCCCTCTCCAAAAACCAAGGGAGAAGTGTCCACAGGTGAGGATGGAAAGAGATCAGACGCCTCGAAGGAGGCCGAGTCAACTTCCCGTCCCGCCGTCTGTGTGTGTGTGTATGTGCGTGTATGTGTGTCTGTGTGTGTGTGTGTCTGTATGTGTGTGTGTGTATGTGTGTGTCTGTGTGTCTGTGTGTCTGTGTGTGTGTGTCTGTATGTGTGTGTGTGTGTGTGTGTGTGTGTCCTGCTCTCACAGACTCCAGGAGAGTCTGCCTGGGTGGTGGACAAACACCTGACTCTCAAGGAATTTCTGTTTTGTTTTGTGTGTTTTTAAAAAAATACATTTTATTGATTTTTTTGCAGAGAGAAAGGGAGAGGGACAGGGAGCTAGAAACATCGATGAGAGAGAAACATCGACCAGCTGCCTCTTGCACACACCCCACCAGGGATGTGCCCGCAACCAAAGTACATGCCCTTGACTGGAATCGAACCTGGGACCCTTCAGTCCGCAGACCAACACTCTACCTCTGAGCCAAACTGGCTTCGGCTGTGTTTAATTTTTGAAAAAATACACTTTTATTGATGTCAGAGAGGAAGGGAGAGGAAGAGAGAGAAACATCAGTGAGGAGAGTGAGTCACGGCTCAGCTTCCTCCTGCACCCCCCACACTGGGGATCGAACCTGTAACCTGGGCCTGTGTCCTGACGGGGATCCAACTGTGACTTCCTGGGTCATAGGTCAACGCTCAACCCCTGAGCCTCGTCAACCAGGCTAATTTAAAAAATTTTTTATTGAGCCTGGGCCGGTTTGGCTCAGTGGGTAGAGCGTCGGCTTGGGGACTGAGGGGTCCCGGGTTCGATTCCAGTCAAGGGCATGTACCTTGGTTGCGGGCATATCCCCAGTGGGGGGTGTGCAGGAGGCAGCTGATTGATGACTCTCTCTCATCGATGTTTCTGACTCTCTCTCTTTCTCCCTTCCTCTCTGTACAAAATCAATAAAATACATTTAAAAAATTTTTTTATTGATTTATAGAGAAAGAAAGGAAGGGGAGGGATGCAGAGAGAGGAACATCAGTGAGAGGAACATTGATCAGCACACCCCCTACTGGGGAGCCAGCCTGCAACCCAAGGAGGAATCGAACCACCAACCTTTCAGCCCCTCCCCCTGCCCCCCCCCACTTCCCTCTCCCCCCACCGCCCAGGAGGGCTGCGGGGAGGCCGGGCGGACAGAGACCAGGCACTTCCTGTGGCCCCTTCCTCCCGGCTGCCCGCCTCCCACAGCTCTCCGTGCTGAAGGGAACCCGGGCCCTGCTCCGTCTGCCCTGAGCACCCCTCCTCCTGAGCACCCCTCCGTGGGGACCCGAGGGGCACCCTGCCCCAGCAGGCAGTGAGGTGGACAGACTCCAGGATGGACAGACAGACAGACAGGCACCAGCCGGGGGTTGGGGGGCTGGTGTGTGTGAGGGGACGGGCTGGGAAGGAGCTGGCAACCAGCTGATCCAATCAGGTCGTTCTCAGAGGCTGTCCCCGGGCGCGCAGGAATCACCATGGTTACCGCCTCCGCGCCGTTCTGAGAGCCACAGGCACACAAAGGGGTGGGGGCGCCGCCAGCAGCACGGGACGCGGGGACAAGGCCCAGCAGACGCCGCCAGCTGGTCCCGCACAGGCAGCTTCCCCTGCGCCTCTGCGCCGGGCAGAAACAGCTGCACAAGCAACGGCGCTCTGAGTCTGTCCTCTACCTCCCTGTCCGTCCGCCCATCCCTCATCTCCCCATCACCCCTCTACCTACCTATCCATCCATCTCCCCATCACCCTCTACCTACCTACCTATCCGTCTCCCCATCACCCCTCTACCTATCTATCCAATCTCCCATCACCCCTCTACCTATCCATCCATCTCCCCATCACCCCTCTACCTATCTATCCAATCTCCCATCACCCCTCTACCTACCTATCCATCCGTCTCCCCATCACCCCTCTACCTACCTACCTATCCGTCTCCCCATCACCCCTCTACCTACCTATCCATCCATCTCCCCATCACCCCTCTACCTATCTATCCGTCTCCCCATCACCCCTCTACCTACCTATCTATCCATCTCCCCATCACCCCTCTACCTACCTACCTATCCGTCTCCCCATCACCCCTTTACCTACCTACCTATCCGTCTCCCCATCACCCCTCTACCTACCTATCCATCCATCTCCCCATCACCCCTCTACCTATCTATCCGTCTCCCCATCACCCCTCTACCTACCTACCTATCTGTCTCCCCATCACCCCTCTACCTACCTATCTATCCATCTCCCCATCACCCTCTACCTACCTACCTATCCGTCTCCCCATCACCTCTCTACCTACCTATCCATCCATCTCCCCATCACCCCTCTACCTATCTATCCATCTCCCCATCACCCCTCTACCTACCTATCCATCCATCTCCCCATCACCCCTCTACCTATCTATCCGTCTCCCCATCACCCATCTACCTACCTATCTATCCATCTCCCCATCACCCCTCTACCTACCTATCTATCCATCTCCCCATCACCCTCTACCTACCTACCTACCTATCCGTCTCCCCATCACCCATCTACCTACCTATCCATCCATCTCCCCATCACCCTCTACCTACCTACCTATCCGTCTCCCCATCACCCATCTACCTACCTATCTATCCATCTCCCCATCACCCCTCTACCTATCTATCCATCCATCTCCCCATCACCCCTCTACCTACCTATCCATCCATCTCCCCATCACCCTCTACCTACCTACCTATCCGTCTCCCCATCACCCCTCTACCTACCTATCCATCCATCTCCCCATCACCCATCTACCTACCTACCTATCCGTCTCCCCATCACCCCTCTACCTATCTATCCATCTCCCCATCACTCCTCTACCTACCTACCTATCTGTCTCCCCATCACCCATCTACCTACCTACCTATCCGTCTCCCCATCACCCCTCTACCTATCTATCCATCTCCCCATCACCCATCTACCTACCTATCTATCCATCTCCCCATCACCCATCTACCTACCTATCTATCCGTCTCCCCATCACCCCTCTACCTATCTATCCATCTCCCCATCACCCATCTACCTACCTACCTATCCGTCTCCCCATCACCCCTCTACCTATCTATCCATCTCCCCATCACCCCTCTACCTACCTATCCATCTCCCCATCACCCATCTACCTACCTATCTATCCATCTCCCCATCACCCCTCTACCTACCTATCTATCCATCTCCCCATCACCCATCTATCTACCTATCTATCCATCTCCCATGTACCCATCTTCCTTCCTTCTTTCTTTCTTTCTTTCTTTCTTTCTTTCTTTCTTTCTTTCTTTCTTTCTTTCTTTCTTCTTTCTTTCTTTCTTTCTTTCTTTCTTTCTTTCTTTCTTTCTTTCTTTCCATCTATCAACTATCCATCCATCTATTCAT